CCCCCCCCTTTCGGTAATTTTAGTGATGGGTGATCCTGCCACGAGATCGAGACCCTTCAAGCACCTAAGGCATTACGTACACAGACTGCTGATTTACAATGCTGTTCCGCGCAGTGTAAACAATGCTTCTCTCGCGCCCGGAGCTTGTCCAGCAGTATGCAGAGACCGCCAAGTCCGTGTCTGTTGGAATCGACGGCGGTCTGAGAAAGATACTGCACGTGTCACACGGCAGAATTACACGAAGTCTTTGTTGGGGCCCGGCTGCAGCTTGGCTATATATGTCTCGAAGGACTTGGTGATAGAAAGGATTCGAACAGCGGAGCTGCGAATCAACGCTACATGGTCCTGCCATGCAAATGCAAGCGTAGATGCGTGAAAGCAAAGCAGAATCGCGCAGTCACTGCATGAGCCAAAGGCGTCCTTGTGGCCAGGATACACAGAAATCTTGTCAAAGCGGAGCGGGAGCTGTATTTCACAGCCTCAGCTGCTCAGCATCTCTGCAGACAAAAGGATTTTCCACAGATTTCGAAATTCCGCGTAGGACCACCACCCGGAAGCGGCTGCCCCGTTAACATCGAATACGTTTGAAGTTTCTTGGATGTTGCCCTGCCAACTGCACATGTGGTCTGGCAAGACCCGAGCAGAGGAAAGGCACATGCATTTGGCCTGGACAAGGCATACAGGCGTGAGCCACACCGGCTGAACGCCATGTCAGCTAGTTCGAGCTCCGTGAGTTCAGGAATTGTAAACCTTAGCTTGCTTGACATCCGCCACTTCCCGCATGTACACGCATACATACTGTGACTACCTACCATCTTGGCTGCTGGCAACAGCTTCTGCGGCGAGCAAGAGTAAACGTGGACCTGTTGCCCCAGGATCCGAAGTGCTGCCAAGCCGAAGAAAGTACCTGCAAGCCCAGGACCTGCGGCTGAGAACCACCTTCGCTGTAGGCAACCTGACGAACGGCTGCGTCTTCGATAGGTTGAACAAGCAAAATCAAGCGAAGTCGGGCCAGCTGGACCAACCCTCGCGCCACGTTTGTGCACAGCTTTGTCACAGCGTAAGCGGTCGTCGGGAAGGATGACCTCCAACCCACTTGCCGCGCAGGAGCAAATCGAGCTTTCACAGCCAACCTTGAGTTGGAGTCCAAGTTCCACAAATGCACCTGAGCGTGAAATCAAATGTGGGTCCTGACATTACACTTTTTGTGCCTCGACTTGCTTAACAAACTGTTGAGCGTCAAACGCTGTTGGCTGCCGCATAACAAATTGTCCTGCAAGGTGCGCGGGCTTGTTATAGATCTAACTTCCCAAACATTGCAACGAGGGTTTTGAGGATGTAAGTCGAAGCCTCTCCAACAGCACACAATGGAGCTGAGTGCTCACCCATACTCACGCAAAAAAACAGATGCCCTGCCAGGCCTAGCAGCTACGTAATTGATCGGCGCACTCAGCGGCACATTGGTAGCGTGCAGGTCCACCTCAAACCATCCAGGGCATGTTGGGCCTGCAGATTGGCCTTCTAATCGTGACATAAATTCTCTGCCAGCAGTCATCCCGAAATCTGCACAAGCAAAGCTGAAGGCGCCACAATGCTCGCTTCAGGCGACTTCTTTGGCGGCGGCATCCTGCACTGCCCTGCACAGAAGGCTTAGCAACCATCCATGGTCCACAGCTGAAAACGAGGCTGCGTCGCCTGCAGCTGGAGCCTTGGCTGCGCCAAAGCGCAGTGCTACAGATGAGCCACCTGCAGCCACACTTGTTGCTTGGTCACTGCTAAGTCTAAGGACTTTGGGCCTCTGGTGCCATGGACACTTGGCTCTTGAGCTAACTATGTCTCTTGAGCATCAAGTAGGAACCAAGCAGGCCGAAGCTTGCACTGGGCCAGAAGCAGTCACGAAGTGATGCCCACAAACAGTTTGCATGCAATGTCAGCTACACAAAGACCATAAGGGTCTGGTAGATTCTCATGGCCAGGCATAGAGCGTTTTCAGTCGTGAGCACTTTAGAATCCTTTTTGCGAGAACAGGCAATGTTGGCAAACTGCAGTAAATCTCTGTATGCTCACCTATCCCCTACAGATGCACAAGAAAGCATGTGGTCAATTGAGGTTGGAAACCGATTCGAGCACCAAAAACGCGGATGTGCGCACTCAAAGGGCGGATTGGGGCACCGGGACAACTGCCCAACCCCAGAGTATCTCTGCAGTGCCCAATCTCTGCAGTGCCCAATCGCGCAGTGTCCAACCGCAGTGTACCCCCCGTATTGTCCAACCGAAGAGTATCCCTGCTGCAGTGCCCAACCCCACGGTATCCCTGCAACCTTTGTTGGAGACCCTATATAGCTCTTATAACCCCGTTAACTTATATCCCCTTTAGAAAATCCTATACAGCCCTTGTAAACCCCTTCAAGGGATCCCATGTGGGCCTTATAAGCTCTCCGAAGGACCCTAAGTAGGGCTTTCACATAGCCCTTATGCCTCTTTAAACGATCCTCTATAGCCATTATAACGCCTTTCAAAAGGACACTGTGAAGGCGTAGGCCGCATAACCCTTCGAGGGACCCAATCTACACAAGGCCCGTGCTTGAAAGATTTAAAAGAGGTTATGAAGCTTATGTAGTATCCGCTGATAATACATGTGGTCCGTTTGAGGGGGTTATAAGGGCTATATCAGGCTCCCTTGAATGGGTTAGAAGGCACACCTTTGTAACAGACCCCATGATAGTAGGCTTAATAAAAGTTTACCCCTTTTTATATACCTAGAGATTGGCTGAGTAAGATTAATTAGAATGAGTCAACAACTCCAAGTGCCGGACAACCACACTTTAGGGTGGGGATACCCGAAGAATCCAAGTCATACCTTCTTAAGTATGCATGAATGATCATTCAGGCTCACAGCAGGGCAACGCATCTTTTTTGCCAGGGGCTCATTCGCGACGAAGCTCAGTTGCCGCCCAACCTGAGTTGACTTCCCTAGATCACACCATGAGTCATACACTGTCATACACATCCCCTTCGTTTTGCGACGAAGCACGATAAGTCTAGCAAAGCCAAGCGGAGTAGAGGAGTCTCCAGGTCGCCCGCTAGGAATTAGCTGCTGCCTCTCGGTCTGCGTCATCCACCAGAGCTCATCCTGGCCAAACAAAACCTCTGAGCCTTGTGGCAGCGGCGCAGAACAGACTGCCCTGGCTAAGAGTTAAGGGCAATCTCGAGCCAAAGCCAGGTCGCCGCAAACCAATATGGCGACCCGCTGTTTGTCGCGCAGCTCAGGGTTGTTCTGGTGATTTTCAAGCCTTTATCTACCCATTCCCCTGGCTTCCTGTCTGTAGCGGAGGTTGCAATGCCACCCGTCCTCCTCCGCCACCCCCGCATTCTCTGCTGGAACCAGACCCCCCTATGAAACGCTGTATGATTGTTCCCCCTCTGCCCCGCCGTACGCCCCGCCTTCCCCCCACTGCCTTCTCTATCTAGTGTTAAAGCTGTCATACCCTGCCAACCCCTTTCTCTGTTGGCACTGGAGGTTTTTCTCTGCCCTACCCGCCCTACCCGTCTTCTAACTCCAACCCCACACCGCGTCTAGCTGCCTGCTCTCTACTGTTCAAGTTATACAGACTCAGGACAGTTGCAACCGTGCCTGGTCTTTGTTGACTTACTTGCGCTACAAAAGTTAGAAGGCCGCGGACCTCCTACCTTCCAAGCCTTCCCACCCTGGCCCTCTACCCCTTCATCGGACCTGTCTCGGCAGTCTTCTAGCCGCCTTCCCTGCCCTTCCTATTGGGGAGGTTGCTTTTCATTGCTAGCAATATCAAGGCATTGGGCGTTCCCCTTCCTTGGGCTGTGAACCTCGTCCCCTTTCTGAGGCTCTCCCTGCCACCTGCTGCCTGCACTCAGCAGCTCGAGCCAGGCCGAGGCGGCGAGCGCTAGCATTAATCTGAATTGACAGCTCAGGAGTCCTCGCGGAAGTTGAAGAGTGTCTTGCACTGCCTAGGTGCGGTCGTTGCTCATGTCATCGCATGCACACACACACATACGAACCTATCACTACAAAAGATGCCTTTATCGGCGCAGCTAAGCCACTCCTTTTTTTCTGCTGATCTGAGCCTCAGCAAGTGGCAGGTGCAAGAACAACAAGCGCTTCTTGCACTCAACTCATGATGGGAGATGTGGCATTTTTGACAACAGTGCCACCAGGAAGCTCGGAAAAGAATGGATGCAGCAGAAGGTGCAGTGGACTGGCGGTGGGCTGCAAATACACTAGCCCAATGAAACAAGGTTTGCATATGTTTGCATGAACCATGGAATGTACCACAGAAGTGCACAGCACTTGCAAAGCTGGAAGATGTCAAACTGCTGGCGGTACGGAGATCGAGCAGCCTTGCTTCAATGCCAAGACAGACTCCAAACAACAAAACCGTTGCAGAGGCCCTGACTGGGTCATACGTGAGCATCAATGCTACCTTACCATTCGCCATGAATGCATTTTGTCTGTTTCCCAGCCTGTCTCTGCGTTTGCTAGGACCCCAAGCCAAATCGCAAGCATGCACTGGCGCCCAGCCACGCAGCACCTTGGTGCGCACAGCTAGAAGCTTCTCAGTCTTTGAGCATGTTGGGCATCTTTATGCATCTTTGCACTGCTTCTGACAGTAAGACTTCATGTGTGTCAACTTGTCAGATAACCCACTGCACTCCAAGGGCCTTCTCCCACGAATGCGGCGCCACCCTGCCCAGCAAAGGTGACTAAAGGGGCGGACAGAGAGGACTTTTCCATGCAAGACTGGGGCAGATAAGTGCAGGCGTAGCGGCGAAGGTGTGAACTCGTACTCAGGATAGTTGGGATTCATGGCCCCTGCCAATTCAAGGCATAGCTGCAAAGCATTGTAAGGCAGATCCTGGACAGGTTATGACTTGCAAGTCCTCTGTTCCTTCTTGGGCCGCGACGTAGCTGCTGCGTGGACGGAGTGCCTAGAACCTTGATTATCTGCACCTGGCACGACCGGTCAGGTCATCTTTGGCTTCGAAGAGGAGGCTGCGGGCGGGCACCAATTGATCGATGCCATCTTTGCCAGTGAACAATGGCTGGCCCAATATCAGTTCTGCGAAGACCTTGCTCATCAGCATGGTGATTGCTCATGGTCAGGTTTATCCAAGGTGGAGGCACAGCCGGCAGACCAGAGATCCACAGCTGTTGTGAAGCTGGTGGCCTTTCAAGTCTCAAACGTCCAGATCTGGCAGGTCCCAAAGACAGACTTAACCTTGAGCCCTGCACTCCCAAGATCAGTTCGGGAGCACGGTAATAGCGTGAGACCATGTAGGGTCGCTGCCTGAAGGCAAACGTGTCAAGCTCAAAGCAGAGGAACTGATGAGGCGAGCACTGCTCTCCGTAAATCATGCGCTTGGCAGTGCCAAAGTCGCAGATCTTCAAGGTCTGGGACTTGCCATCCAGCAGCAAGTTTTGCCTGGCGAAGTATGCCCAGACAGAGTCGAACTTGTCTACTTCGAACATCCCCACCCTTACCATTTTGCGGTCTGCTTGCATCACAAACTACTTGCAGCAACAATATTGATATGGAATTATATGGTGGGTTGATCACTCAGGGACACCCCAAAGTTGGGCACTGCAGCGAGAGGTAAGGGCAATGCAGGGAACCTCTGAATTATTTTGGGTTGAGCACAGGGCGCTCCAGGGATATTCTGCGGTTGGGCGCGGTAGGCAGGGAGACTTTGGGGTTGGGCACCTCAAGGAACTCTGGGATGGAGCAGTTGTGAATAATATTCTGAGGTTGGGCAAGGCAAACTTGAGGGCACTGCAGGGATACTCTGCGGTCGGGCACACCAGGGATACTTGGCGGTTGGATACTCTGCTGGGCACTGCACGCAAGCGAGGAGAACATGGACTTCTTAAAGTCCAAAAGCCGCACGAACAAATCTGCTTACTCCGCAGCACCTGCCAGATTACACCACCGAAGACCCCAACACAAGAAGCTCTCTGCGGGAACGCTAAGCAAAAGTGACGTCTGTGGCCTGGCTTTTAAATTTAGCGGCCCACACACCTGCACCCCTTGATCCCTGAGCTTTAGTTGGGGCGAGGCAAGCGTGCACAATCTTGACAAACACTACCCACCTCAACTCAGACAAAGGGAGACAAAGGAGGACACAAGGAGACAAGCATCCAAGACCCATCAGCAAACGTTGGCTATCTTTCAAGAGATATGCTGGCGCCCCTACTGTACCGTGTTTGGGGAAATTATAAGATCTCGCTAGATAGGAAAGCCCATATCAAGGAAAGCAGATTAAGGAGAGGAGGTGTTTTGTAGGCTTCTGGCGGCTTCAGGTCGCAGTGGGCGATTCCACGGCCGTGAACAAAGGCAAGGCCTGGGCTTTTGTGGCTTTGCTGAAGATTAGCTCCCAGATTCTGATCGAACGTCCCACAGGATTAGAACCTGCACCCTCGAAAACTGACCAAGCTGGCATTGCTCCTGGGCGACAGGCCTCGCATAAGCTGGAATTGGTACAGCTTGACGTAGAAAGCATCCTGAGTGACATCCTACGCCCCAGTGCATGGCACGCAACCCTTGCAAATACAAAGGATGCTTGACGAGTCTACATCTCGAACAGAATCTTTTGCTCTGTCCCCGACCATTTTCTTGCCAGTCTGGTTGTAGTGCTTTATCACCTGCCGGCAAACTGTAGCTTTTCATGTTCTTCTGGGACATGCTGCTAGCCATCTTGCGCTGAGATACGAACGCGATGCAGCGTATCGGAAAGGTACTCCAACACCAGGTTTAGCCTGCGCTGCAACGATCCAAGTATACCACCCAGATAACAGTCATGCACACCTTGTGGCACTCTGACCATTGGATGCTGCGACCTCGTCGCTTAGGAAAGCGCCGTGCCTTGACAAGTCACTGACCAGAGTGCGAGCTCAGCTTCGAGTCCCAAAGATGCTCGGCCAACGACAACGTAACAATGTTCGGGTGGCCATCCAGCTCCTTTAAAATCTGAACCTGCTCAAGAGCTGAATGGACCAAGTGACAGATACATTCAGGAACCACGCGGTGTGTGAGTCTAAGGCCTCTCTGTCCTTGTCCTGCATTTTGATGGACTTGATTGCTACCTGGAAGTGCGAAGCACGACTTGCAAGGCTGGCTTCAACGACAGGACAAGCTGTTCGGCTGCGCGACTGTTTCACCAGTTTCGAGGACTTGCGCCTGTCGGGATGCATTACATGTGATTACGTCTGTTCTGGTTTCACTTCAGCACCCTGCCTGGTACACCACGCCGAAGGATCCTTTGCCCAACACTCTCTGCACGGTGTACGTCCGAGTCCTGAGGATGATCGAACTCTCGCCAGCCATGAGATGCTGCAGCTGAGGCCAGCGCTGCAGCTCAGGTGGCTCCTCGTGAAGCAGCTGCATTTGTGCTACCCCAAACCATGAAGCTGCTCATTCCAAGGTAACTTGAGAACCTTCAATGAAGCCGATTGAGGATTGTTGCCTAGAATGATACCACCATTTTGGGGTGAGATCGGGTGCCCGGGTGAAGGCTGTCCTCATCCGCCTTTCGCTTGCGCGAGGCCTTCAACATCTCTGAGCCAGCCATGAGGCCTTCTTTGAGCTATGAGCCAGTTGGCCAATGTGCTTGCTGTAGCTGTGACTTGCACACGAATAACAGTAGTGGCGGGAATGCTTTGAGTTGCAGGACAACATGCTGTAAAGCCGGGTCAGGTTGCGTGGCTTGTTGAAAATAATGGAAAGGAGCTTTCCTCGGCACTCCGATTTGAGCCCGGACTAACTTCAAGCTCAGAGGCAGATCAACAGATGTCCCCATGAATGTTGCGGATCAACATCTGAAGCAAGCATCTGAAGAACAGCGTTTGTCACAAGCTAAGCGAGTTTGGCAATCTTTGGCTTGGACTCTGCATACGCCAAGCATCAACGGTCTGTGAGAGGTTGCACAACCTATGCTCAAGGAGCCATCGGAACATCAGGTATATTCTCCCCGCTAGCAACAGAAACGTCAACTTCCATTGATGCATACTTCTATTCCACTTCCTGCTGACGGGCCATAGCGCGTCATTCAGCATGGGAATGTGCTGATCCTGCCAAGGGAGGGACATCTCTCCTATCCGCTTTGAATCACTTCAAAGGTAATACAAATCCAGAACTTTCAGATCAAAGTGTGTCTTGCTGAAGCGATGCATGGGGCTTGGGGTCGAAGCCACCTGGCCTGGTCTTCGCAATCGCAAACCACTGGACATTGTTCAGACTGTGTTTCTGCCCTTCCTTCAGATACTCAACCCACCTAAACTTACACAGGCCATCCCCTATCCCACACAACTGATTGGGCGTGATCATGCTTACAAAAAACATGTTGTTTTCGTGAGATTTCTGCTGGACGGGCGTGCCAGGATCTTGGATTGCCGGCATTGACAAAACTTGCGGGCAAGTGGTCTGGGCAAGCTGAGGCCAGGTGCCAGATGGGTGCTCTGCTACATGCTATATGATGCTGCAGAACCACTGGAAGCGCTGGTAGGTTCAGGTCCCGGCCCATGAATTTGCAACTCTGGGCATGGATGGGGCAGCATTGTGAGTACCCTGGAATGTGGAATATGCATGTACTCGGTGCAAAAAGGGCTGGCCATACGGAGAAAGGTGCAGCATCAGCTAAGAAGCAGGGGCTTGCAGCCGCAATGCTGATCCAAGTGGGCGGTCCCTGTGACTTGTATGTTGCACTGCTGCCGAAAACATGAAGAATCTGTTCGTTCAATAGCCGGCGTATCTTGGAGGTATCAAGTGCTGATAGAAACACTCCCCGCCATTTCATCCACTTCAGTTTTGCAGCGCATGGTGGCGCTGTTCTGCAGTTGTCTAGCTGACCCTGCAAGAATGTGGCGAAAGGTTCCTTGCTGAGCTCGTGCTCCAGACCTTTTGGTTGGCCTTGCGGGTTCTGAGGTTGAGCCTTGACCAAAATGCGTGAACCATGAGATGCTGATATGGCTTTGCGTTCCCTTTGCATTTCGGAGAGAGTACCTGCCGTCTGGCCTGCCTTCTCTCCTTCGGCTTGGTCAAGATGTCTTTGACATGTTGCAGAAATGCAGCTGGGTAAATGCTTATCAGTCTTCATTCAGTGCAACATCCTGACAAGTGGTTTGCTCACGGCCCAGCACCTTGAACCCCCTGCCAGAGTGCTGATGCTTGATAATTAAGGCTTTTTCGCGCTCTGCCCGACTTGGATATTCCGAGAATGATATTCTGCGAAAGGGCTTCTAAGAGCTTCAAGGCTCTGAGGTTTCCTTCGAGCTATGTCGCTGTGCAGCAAAAAGCTGAAGGCTAGGGGGTTCCGCGTTCATAGACATACTGCTTGTGGGCAAGTCCCAGAGCTGCACAGAGCGCGCCTGAAAAAGAACCTCGTCCTGCCCTGCGAAGGCATACCTAGCACGCGTCACACCACAAAACTTCAGGTAGATCCATTTTAACTTTATGCCTGAATTCAGAGTAGCTTGAAGACTTGTCAAACTTGTTCAACAAACCATGCTGGGTAACGGGCTAGCAGGATCGCCTTGATCAGCAAGCCGCACAACAGCAAGTTCACCTGTGACGCATCAGGCCACTGCGATCTTCCACAGATGAGGCGAAGCTGGAGTTGTTGGCTTTATGAGAGCTCATTGCATTGCGATCGTGAGGTCGCTGAACATGTTGGATGCCTATCTTTAGTTTTATCACCGGCACTGAAATGGTTTGAAACGTCTTGGCTGCAGCTGCCATTACTTTGTTTTGCGCGGCTCTTCCTAGAATGTCGCTATGAAACCCAACTCGCAGACGCACGCGACATACAGGCTCCACTCAAACTCCCCAGAACCGGCTCAAATGACATAAAGATTTCAATGCACCTTCAAGACTTGGCTCTTGAGAGTGCTCAAGACAATCAACAAGCAATCAGCGCACACGTTGGAGGGCTAAGCTATGCACCGACCCTGTGAGGTCGTTGGCGGTGACAGATAAGACCTGGTCAAGAGTCCACACTCAGAGGCCCAACAGAGTTGCAGGACCCTAGTTACAGGCATGCAAGAAAATGATTGCAAAGTCATAGCTCAGGCGTGTTTCCCCGTGTAAATGCATGAACAGAGAGCTCCTGGCAAGTCCTGGCTTTCCTGTTTCTCGAGTGAACATATCATAGCATTTCATGAAACAATTCTGAATTCACTGGTTGGGCATTTAGCAATTGAGCCACCAGACCAACGGCAAGAAGCTTACAAAAAGATTCAGGACAGGCGCATTCATCAGCTTTACGCCAAGTGAACGCTGATCATCTAGCATGGAACCCATCATTGCAAGTAGGGTTTTCGTAGTGGCGCAAGCTTCAAAGACCCCCCTACCCGTGACCTTTCAGGAGTGGCATGGATATGGGTTTCTTGGAAATGAAAGCTGCGGGAGGAGGCCCCCAAATGATACCAGAACCATACCCCTTCCCCACCTCCCCTCCCCTCCCCTCCCTCTCCCTCCCCCTCTCTCCTCTCCGCTCGCCTCAATCAACGAGCCCGACTCGGCACTTCACCGCCCTCAAAAGCATGAGCTAGCATACCCAAACCAAAACAACCGCCGCAGTTTCAACAAAACAGTCACATGAGGGTCACATCATTAAAGGGGGAACGGCGAGGCTGAAATGCCTAATGCCAAGTAGACGCAACTTCGGACAAAGGCCCACCTTCACAGACAGGTGGGGTAGAGCGGTGTTTTCAAAGCGTCCAAGGCAAGCCGCAATGCCAATGCAAAGTGGACGCAGGCTACATCCACAAGCCAGAAGCAACCAAGCCCAGAATGCCATCGCACACCCACACTCGGTGGCCACACCCCGCATATCAAATGATAAACGCAACTGCAACGCCATGTAGACGCAGCGAGATAGCTTGTGTGCCTTTTTTGCAACTGGCCCTGACTAACGTTCGCAACAGCATGCGGAGCAGCCAAACGCAAAGTAGACATACTGCCCAGCAGCACCTGACAGGAGGCCGCTTCATGATTACCAGAAGACCGCGCCCCACACAACACAGAAGCGACGCGAATCCGCATGTAGACTCAGGGTTTTGACATCACGGCAACATTTGTGACGCCAAAAAAGCGACAGCTAAGCAGCATGCAAAACACCATATGATCGTAACATTCAGGACATGGAGACCATTAGTAAATTCTTGTCGTCCAAATTTGATTTGTTACATCAGAATTCCTTGACTTTCTGAGAACCACCGAATGAAGCGCGTTCCTCTGCGTTTTGCAAAGCGCCACAACTTCTGAATGGTACGATTAAGCAGTGATTTGCCTCTGAAGCCAACCCTGCGCCACGTTCACTATGAGGCAGGGACCCATCCGAATAGGAGCGTTCCGAGGGAGCTGCCCAATGTGAAGACAGTCATGATGTTTGCCTAAGAGCTTTGACTGGGCACCTACGCTTCTCAAACACGCTGCGAAGCTATCCAAGGCGAGCGTCAATGAAACGGCCCCGCTCGTTTTGATGGAGCCGCTCTTGCGAAATTGAGTTGAAGTATGTCGTGACCTCATGTTGCGGACACCTAGTTGCAAACTGCAAGCCGCTCCTGCTGAGTGCCCCACTATGTTGTTGACCGAGATTGTGAGAACCCATGCGCTCACCTTAGTGACATTCAAAGAGTGCACGTTCGCAGCCTGGGCCTGAACTTTGTGGCGATGGACACACTCCCTGATGGGTTTGCTGGGACGCAGACGAGATTGAAAACTAGCAGTCCGGAACCCAGGCTTCCGCTAAATGACCTTTCGCATGTGAGCACCCGTGGTCAATATTTCAGCAAAGCGCAGCTGTGGACCCCACACGATCAAGGCTAGGAGTGCCATAGTGGCTACCTGCCCAGCCACACCAAAGTTGATTCCCACCTTGGCATGCTGACAGACTCAGCCGATCAAGATAACGTCAGGATTCCATGCTGCCACTAAATGTCGGGAAGCCCTACGTCTTGCTAGCCAAGCCAAAACACAGCCCAACACATCATTAAACATCACCAGATCGGCCCCGCACCCAAAGTCTGCACGACTGCTGGCTGGAAGAGTATGACTCCAAGAAATAGATCCTGCCAGCTGACCAAAACAAGCGCGCTTTGATACGCACGACTGTTTCTTTGCACGTGGAAGAGACTCAGTCGCAAGCAGCGCGTTGGAAAGGAAAGGACCTACCTGCAGCATGCAACAAACATCATATCAGACTGGAACGCGGAGTGCACTGAGAGCCAAGCAACTCCGCCAAGAGACACCAGCGCGCTATAGTTCCTCCACATGTCTTTCCTGGGGCTTTCACGGAATGACTCAGATGCCCCACACCATTCGGAGTTTGCTCTTACCTTTCCCAAAGGTGCTGCAACATATTCTCATCTAGAATCAGATCTGCGAGGGAGGTGGGGGAGGAAGGGGCACAGTTCGTGCTTTCCGGCTTCTCGACTTCAGGTGTAATTTCTGGTGGAAGGCTTTGCATAGCAGATGCACTACAACCACATCTGCCCTCTGGCCCAGCAAGGCGATAGGAAGTTAATGACCCACCCTAGAGTCAAGAGGGCATACCGAATCAGATCCCAATTGAAGTCTTCCATACCTTGGCCATTCTTGTTCAAGAGTCCTCACGAGTCTCGTGGCAACATGCAAGGCCAACTGATTTATCCCAAGTTGAGCAAATCTACGAAAACCCACGTCTGCGCTTGGCGAAAACAAGACATGAGCGCAGTGAACTGTGTTGAGGCAGCTTTTCATTCACACAAGTGCTGGCACCCACAGAATGACAAGCGAGCCCGAGAGTCTTCTTAATGTCCAACAGACTCATTGCGCTTTGAAGCAAGTCGTCCACAGCCTTCGTCGGCATGCTGCGGATGTTGTAGCACTGGCTTGGCACTGCTTGACAAGAGCTGGGACTCAGGCAGAGTGCTCTACTGCAGTCTCCGCGACCCTCGCGCTATGCATCAAACATCATTCGGACAAAAAGCTGTTTGGGCCATGCAGAGACTCCACTGTTCGATTCTTGGCTCTCAGAGATGAAGCTCAGCCAAGCAGCCGCTTGAAAAGCACAGGAAAATGAACTGAGTTGAGAGGGTAAAGGAAGACCTGAGCAACCCAACAATTTGGGGGGCACCCTTGGGCTCATGCGTTCGCTCATCAGGAAGCAAGTCTAAGCAAGATGCATTTGTCACCTGAGATTGAATCATGCGAAGATGCCGGGTCAGATCGGGTCAGTGACATGTACACTGTACACGTAGGAAGTTGCTTCTTGCAGCAAGGATGCGAGGGTGTTGAGAATCAGAAGCCTCAACACAGAGTCTCTCCGCAGGGACATGATGCCATCGGCGATCTGGCGTTCAGGGTCACACCAGAAGCAGCTAGAGATGCAGGCTCAGGAGAATTGGTTGAAACGCCTGCTGAAGCAGGCTGCCCAACTTCTGACGCACCTTCATCCCGCCATCACGCAATGACGGCATCAAAGTATCAAGAATGCTCAAGCCAAAATTGGCTGAAGGACCGAGCTGTAGCTTTGGAGGCCATCTTCGACGGCTCCCGCGAGGCTTCAAGCACCTTGGAAGTAGTCAAGTGCTTGGCCTCATGGCCTCCTGGAATCTATAGCCAAAGCTTCTTAGGAGTTGACGTGGACACGTGTTCGCAACAAGGCCAGAATAGCATAGAGAGCACAGCCTGTCATACTGAGTTATGAACATTCGACGGGTCTGCGGAGAGCTAATACTACCGCTGCTCAAAAGGCTCAGGTTCCCACTTAGGAGCACAGCGAAGCTGAATCCATAGCTGGAGGAAACCACCGCGTAGGCAAACGGCGCTAAGTACCGCCCCACCTGGAAAGCACACGTTTTCTGAGATAGTCTCCGGATGTCGCATGAAAGCACCGTGGCCTTGTCACAGGTCAGGTCCCAGCCGTTGATAACAGCCAGGTCCTTGGACAAGGACGCGCCACGGCAGCTCGCGCACAAAGCATGCGGGCTGTCCTCGTGAGAAGGGGTTACGGCCGGTGGCATGGATTTTGTGACCGGTTGCGAGAAGGCGAAGAGCAATCCCAGGCCTGATGTTATGCGAGCACTTCTATTCGTGCTCGTTAACAGCAGCTCCAAACAATCTAGCGAGCATGTAGCAGAGCTGCCTATGTTCAAGATAAAGAGGACGCCGCCGGATTCATGGCCACAGGCGAACATGGCCAAGGCTAGCACCTTGGTTGGATGTCAAATGTCTGCCAGTCGAGTCTACCTGTGACTCCCCCAGCTCAAATTTCCGCCAGACTCAGGGTCACGCAAGGTTGCACGCCTCCACGGCATCATGAAACTCATGTGTTGATCTCGCTGTAGATATGCTGACAGGCAACCTCTGTGGCGACGTACATCTTCTTCAATGCAAAATTATCTGTCAGCAGACCGGCAATCTGCGACACCTTGCAGCAAGTAGCAGCCAGCGCTTCTTGTGCTGGGGTCAGCTTTTTGTTGGCTGATCCAGGCGCCAGGCAACCATACGAGCAATGCTGGTAACCACCTGCGCACCTGCGAACTGGAAGATGCCGCCTGCCTTGGGCAGACAAAGCAGAATTATCAACATCAAACAGCTTCTGCTTCTGTGCAACACTGTGCTTCTCAGTAGAGTACCTCCAGCAACTCGTATCTGGCTGCCTAGGACATCAGAAACGATACGGAGCCAGCGCCTTGAATCTGAAAAGCTAGGCTCGACACAGTCACCAGGAAGGAATTGGCGAATCGAGAGCCAAACCTCCGACGTCAATCGTACTAGTCGTTGCGAGCCATGTTGGCCCAAGGAAGTAGTGTTGTCATCAGCTCTCAGGACAGGTGGCTGAAGAACGATGAAAAGCACCGCATTTCTTTCCAGCATGGCCGCAATGGCCGGGCTGACTGGCCATCCAAGCGTAGAACGAAAGAATTCCGACTGGTTGCACTTTACAACTCAACCAACTCCATGCTTGTGTTTGCGGCGACGCTTTGTTCTTTGCGAGCATCACGCTTTTCGGCGGTGAGTTGTTCCGCTAAAGTTATGTTCTCTGCCAAGCTTTTGGGGCAAACGCTGCGCTATGTCAGGTCAAGGCTGCAAAGGCCAGGATATGCCAAGATGCTGAGGTGGTGCAACCGCATTTTTGCACGTCTGGTGGTGCGGGTGCCCCAGGTGAGACTTGAGAAAAGACTGCATCCGAGCGCAAGAGGCTACTTATCATCGCACGGCTTTGTACATGATGCAACCTTGCAAGGTCAGAGGGTTCTCGATGACCCATTTACCCTCTCATCTTTGATCGACATGCTTGTCACAGGACTGCTGTAGGAGTTGTAGCATGTTGTGATTGTTTCTGACAAGTTGATCTAGACTCTTAAGAACTAAGGAGCAAGTCACCCAAATCAATTTCTGGCTGGCCGCCCACTGGCTTTGCCACGACACGGCCACGATCCATAAGTGAGACTTCAAAGTGCATGCATTTCAGCGCAACACTATGCAGCTGCCTGCTTCTTTGCTGATGGCCCGGGCCTTGGTGGAAGTGCAAACGAAACGCAGGTGGGCGCCGAGGCCATAACAGTGAGCCACAGGAGCAACGGAAAGAGCCGCGGCTGAGTTGAGCTAGATACACACTGGCAGTTGCTAGAGGTTCCGACAGCGGCGTACCACGGAGAATTCGGAGGAGCCCCTGCCATGACGCGAAGGTGGAGATGTCAGTCGTGGAAGTGCGGGCCAGGTTTTGGCAATGCAGGTCAAGTGGCCTCTCCTGTCGCCGATACAAAAGAGACCTGCCAAGGGCACCAGCTGTCACCAGCTGTGCCACAGGCTGCCACAGGTCTTCATCAGATTGGATGACTCTTTGGGCCCCTCAGCTCTGGGCAAGTGCAGGGTTCTCTGCCATCTCCGAGAGCAGCCGAGAACTGTCATGACCTTGGTCAGCTGCTATGTTACCCTGCTACATGCTGCTAATCAAGTTCCTGCAAGCGTCTGGCCCAGAACAGCAGCTACCTCAAACTCCGCTGGCCGTTCTTTGGGTACCTTTGGCTCTTTCCTGGCGCAGTGTTGTCGGCACTTGACCAAGAATGCCTGCGGGGTGCTTCGTTTCCGTTCTCTAGGCCTTGGCTTGGCTTCCTCGTCCTCGCCCTCATCACCTGGCTTTTTGCCATTTTCTTGAGGCCACCAACAAGGTTGCCAAGAGAAAGCCTTCCACGGTTCTCCCCAATTTCCTGCCTTCTTCATCTTCTTCCTCCTCCTCTTCGTCCTCCTCGTCCTCCTCAGCCTGTCTTGCAGCATGGAGAGCCGGTACTCTAAAACCTTCCCTCGCTGGGTCCTCGCCAGCGCCAGTCAAACGGCCCTCCAGTAGGCCAATGAGCTCGTGGGTTCCCTTCTGCCACTTTTCTTCCTGCCCGACCGAACACAAGGCACATGCTGCAGGCATCCACGAAAGAGAATCAGGGTACGGGACAGCTAAAGTGGGGTTATTTGAGCCTTGCAAGCAGGGATCAAGCAGGTCTCTGCTGGTATGGGAAATACGTAGGGTATTCGAGGATTAATGGGCTTGCAGAATTGAACCTTTAGAACAACTGAGTACCACACGGGACGGGTTGGATGAAGCAAAGAGAGAATGTACTGATGTCATATGGGGTGCTCACCCACAACCCTAAAGCCGCACTGGTTGAAAATTCGTTTAGCCTACTAAGGTTGTGCTCCTATCCGATGTGCCCAAAAATGACGCCCAACTCAGCTTCCTTTTCTTCTGATGGTCCCCAGCCTCATGGCAGCCGAGAGCTCCATTCCAGATGGCCCCGCGACTTCGCCGGAGAAGCATCCTGGCATCAGCAGAGCAAAGCTTCAACTCCTCTTTCATTAGCTCCCCATCTACGTTTTGTGCCCGGTTCTTCGAAGTTGCTGCTTAACCCAATGCCTGCCTGAGCTGTTCCACTGCTGCAGGGCCAATGTCCCGCACAGTCCACGCATCGGGAATGCCACTGGTCGTAACTGCAGGCGTGGTCGCGGCTTCACCATCAGCCTTTCGAGAGCAGGCATGGGCATTTAGACATTTGATTCAAGGCCATGGCAATACACGCTAATCGCTGGGCATCATGAACGCAGCTTGAACAAGCTGAATTGCTCGCGTGTCCGATGCCTCTATCGGAGCCGCATCTTCTTCTGGAGCATCTGAGACGAATGCTGAAGGGCACCCTAAGCTGCATCAAGAGAAGCAGGGCAGAATACCTTGAGAGCGCGGTAGCTCTCCTGGCCTCGGAGTGCGGGAATGCGTGCGCAGCCGTCAGAACAGCATGTCAGCAACAGAAAATGTTTGGGGGTTGAGGTTCCGACTCGCATTTTTGAAGATGAAGGATGCCATGCTGGGTATCCACAGAGACATAACACTCACCTTAGGGAAAAGTTGTGTCACACCGCTGCACTCGGCAAGTGAGAGAACCGCATTCAGCACAAGCACCAGCTGTGAAGTTGTTTTTCTGCGAAGCATCAATCATTAACTTGGGTTTGATGTCGGTATGCCGCGAGCCTTAGTCCTTCACATGGCATAATCCATTGTTCTAGCAGCATCTCAGAATGTGACAGATTTGTGCAAACGGAATGGCAGTCACATGCACGAGAAGAAGGTTATCACTCTCTCGCGCACGTAGTCTGCAAGACTAAACTCTGTGTCAGCTGTGCAAAGTGAAACAGCTTTCCCTGAAAGTTTGAAAGTGTCTACGGTGCCTACTCAAGCTCTGCCGAGCAAACACGCAAAACGGTCTGATCAACAACAGCTACCCTGAGCGAGATCTTATCGTAGTGAGACGATGACCTACCTAGGTTGGCGCCGCTGGAAGCGGCTGCCCATCAAACGCATGTGGTCTGCAAGAGAGGTATGCCTGATCGCAATAACAAAAATCAGATCAAAATCACATTACCGCCTAAGGGCACAAATAAGCTGGATATCTCAATTTCTAAACTTCTCTTACTTGGTCATTCTCCTCCTCGTGCGCGAGACTGGGGAACTAGCTCGCTCTTCCTTGCATTTGTCGCCTATCCACATCACCGGCAGCTTGGATTGCACCGTATGCCGCTTCCCACCTCGCAACCATTCATTTTGCAGGATGACTTCAGTGGAAGGCCGCTGGCTGGTGTCTAGCTGCAGGCATTGCTGTATGAGTTCCTTGCATGCCTCTGAGCATTTCTCAATACGACCTTTGAGCACTACAGCTTCTGTTGAGACGGCTTGCTTGAAAGCCTCAAAACTCTTGTACTGATGACCCCTGCGGGGAAGATGTCCTGCAAGCATCAGGTAGAGACAAAGACCAGCACACCACACGTCGCTGCTGGTGGAATGCGGCTCACCCCTACAAACTTCCGGAGAGGCATACTCCTGCGTGCCGGCATTCGTGAGGGAGCCTCCTTCAAGCAGGCACCTTGCACTGTTGAAATCAATGAGGCGAAGGTCCATCAAGTTCTGGCTCACAAGAACATTCTCGCCCTTAATATCTCGGTGTATGATTTGCCGGTGGTGCAGGTAGTCGATGGCCAGCATCAACTGCTTGAAAAGCCGCTGCGAAGCAGATTCTGCAAGTCCATACGTTGATCTTGCTGCTGCCGTTATCGAAAGTCCTTCAAAAAGTTCCAGAACTAATACGGCCTGGTCATCGGCTACGAAGAAATCCAATGCCTCTATCACGTGCGGGTGGGACAGTTTCCGCAGGATAGTGAACTCTTGCTTTAGCAGCACGGTCATTTCTTCATCTAGGGCCTGCATGGCTTTCAGGGCAACCTCTCTTTGGTCGGTCCTACGTGTTCCACGGTAGACCGTGCCCATGGAGCCTTGACCCAAAGACTCATGTACGATGTATCTAGCCCTGAGGCCATCATGCTTGGCCAAGGCCAGGGTGCCCGGATTGCAAGAAGTATCCAGCTGCAGGTTTCCTAGCCGCTGCTTCCTCTGTTGGAGCGAACTTCTCTTTGGCTGCCGCTTGCTGCCATCGGTCCCTTTCGGGCTCAAGGGACTAAGCGGAGTCAGAGGGCTCAATGGGCTCAATGGTTCCACCAGTGGAGAATACTGGCCATCAGCTAGCGCAGAAGTTTGCACACGCACTGGAGCTTCAAGGCGAGGGAGGACAGGCATTCACACGAAAAACTCGACCGGGATCTGCCCCTGTGCCGACAGCGCTGCGGTATTCATAATGCTGTTCTGTGCAGATTGTGCAGTAAGCCCGCCAGCCTCTGAGGCAAGATGAAGACCAGCTCCGCTTCACAGTCACAAGCTGAGGAGCCAACGACAATCTGAATAGCCAAGAAAGAGCGGCGTGCTTGCAACTTGTCTCCAGGCAGCCTTGGTCCAGGTTGTCATCCTGCCGATGCCACACAAGATCGTTATGAGAAGCTGGCGGCCAGTGGCGCCGCAAGCCCCGAATTCGCATCCTGACAGAATTCTCTTTACACCTTTATGAACATAGCTGAAACTGAAACCATCAGAATACATAATCCACACAGATGTCGCGGTGGAATTGTAATGACAGCATAAATGCTACGATTTTGCAATATCAAGGTAACAACTCTGGGGCCGAGTTACGCTGCGAAACCCAGTTGTACTATTGGGAGGTCCTGCGGCTCGGCGGCCTCATCTCCATCCTCTCTGATCACAGCACGGGTAACTTAGGATCATCAGCAAATCGCTCTCACTTTCCCACTTTTTAACCTAGACTCATCGCCTCAGTGGATGCCAGCTCCTCGCAGACCAAATCAAGTGGCAGCGAAATCCTCAGCTGCTTTGGAAACGCCAATCTACGAGCAGAAAAGTCATGACGCTCGTTGTTCACCCTGCCGTTTGGCACGCTCTGTCTCACACATGGCAAGGAGAGGACATGTGACTTTGTGACCGGAGGCGGAGGGGTTGATGATTGCATGCAGTTGTCGCAAACAAGTTGGTGCCTTCATGCCTCTGCCCTACAATGGATTAAATGATTAGCTACTTCTATAAGACCTCACCTAGTCCCCTTCATTTGCAGGATCGACTGGCCTTCCCTGATCAAAACTTCAGCACACAAGGACTCCAGCCTTACATAAGCCTGAGAGCCCGACGAGACACCCATCCTGACAACCGGCAGGCATCTCAAGGAGTTCAATGGCAAGATATTGCAGGTCAAGGGATGGAGAAAGATTAGCAAATCGCAGGCCTCATGACCTCCAAGAGAGCCTGCTGCACGAGGCGGATGCATCAAGGACTGTCTACTGTAGTCCTGGCCTCTCTGAGCGATGCTTTGATCGCACCATTCATAGCACCAAGGCCCATGGACATGCCAAGCACGCCTACCAGAATCAGCGACAGCGTTGTAACAACTCCCTTCCTCCACTGAGCAGCATCGCCTGACAAAACATAGGAGGCGAGCGCACCGCCCATGAAGACGTGCACTCCACCCTTCGAGCGCACAACGCTCATGATCGCCTTGCTTGTACAGTCAGTGTGCTTCAGGGCCTTCTCGTGCTCGGCAAAGCGCGACAGTCCAATGAGGAGCTCTAGCTTCTTGAGTAGAGTTTCCTGCTATGAGAAGTCAGCACCGATGGGTGACTTGACTTCGATGGTGCTGCCTCTTGATCCTGTGCACTGAAGCCACCCCCAAGAATGATGAGAAGCGGAGCAGGGATGGTTTCCTGACAAGCTCTTAATGACCTGCAGCTAGTAGCACCACATGGACAAAACCCGTAAAAGTAGTATTAAGGGCTCAGCTTTGCCATCCTCATCGACCGCGACTGGCTTGTCCAGTTCTGCCTTTGCTGCTTCCTGGTGCGGGATCTTTGGTGCGATGGAATGTCACAGACCCTCTCACTACAACTGCTATGTCCTCCTCAGCCGCTGAGGCTCGAATTGGCAGCTGCCTTGGCAGGTGGTCACGCTGGTAAGCTGTTGATTTGCTCTATCTTGCATCTTGCAGAGCTTGTCTGGGCACGAGGCATCGTTTCTATGAAATCGGCCAGCTCACCTTCAATGGCCTCTGTGGCTGCTTCAGTCTGCAGTCTGGATGCCACGGGGTCACAGGCGGCGTAATGCTCTTAGTGGCTCGGAGAACGATGAGGGCATTGATGACACAAAATTCCCGTTTGATTAAATTGAATGATCTAGGTCCTAATTCAGGCGGCGTACAAAAGTCTTGCACTACCATGTCCATGCAAAGTGCAGGCGAAAATCCTGGCCTGCCAATTCTATGCTTCTCTGAACTGAGAAGCTGACGGCCATTGACACCAGAACTCCGTCTCCCAAGTCCTGGTCCAAAATGAGGAGCTATCTGTGTCTTTTATTCCCGGACACGGACCAGGTTGTGCAATTGCCCGTCCTGAGTGTCAGCTGGAGCCTCCTCTCCTTCCTCAAGCTCGTCTCCCTCTGGCGCCTGCCAAACACCAAGCAAAAAAGTGAGTTGCCGGAAGCAGAGTTTGTAGCTGCCTCAGCAGATGCTTGGCCCAGGTATGGCCTGACGGACTAGAAGATTTGCTTCTGATTGCAGATTGCTCAACCAAGGAACAAAACTCAGAAATCCTGCCCCAAGGTCCTGACCGCAATCTGTCAGCCAAGGAAAGGGCACCAGCTCGAGAGATGCGAGCCATGACCGTCGCCTCTTGGGCGACCACCTGAAGCCGAGCAGACGCTGTGTCTCTGCTTGCTCTGAGCAACCTGCGGTCGACTCGCCGCCTCAAATCGCGTGCAGGCCGGCCCAAACCTCAGTAGCTTGACACTGGCTTCGGCTCCAGGCTGACTCAAGCAACACAAGTGAAGATCTTGGGATCATCACTTGTTTTTCATGAAGCCTCGACAGAAGATGTCCCGAACCTCTGCCTGCCAAGGGACAGGCAGGACATGTGCTTGTAGAAACCCTCTCTTGGTCACATGAGATGTCTGCTTTCAGCCTCCTTCTCTTCAGGCGCAAGTTTGGCCTTCCTCTCCTGGCCGTTGGTCGAGATGCGCTCAGACGTCACCAGCTATGTTGACGCAGGGCGGGATAACCACGGAGAAGGCTACAATGGCGCGATCGGCGCAGCATGCATAGCACACAGATCACACAGGCTATCTTATCAAGTTTCAGCTGATACGAAGAAGTTTGCTTCGATGAGATCGTTGCCTCCAGCTTTTGGTTGTATTCCTCCACCTCCTCCGGGGAGGCATCATCCTGATCACGTGGCTTAAGTTCAGGCATTGGGCATGATGTTGCACAAACTTGGACAACCCGGCAAAAGAGAGTCTGAGCTGCTCACATCAGGCGGGACAAGGAAGGGAAGAGGTTCCAGCCTGCACGCAATCATCACATGCAGCAAAGGCGTCAGCACCCCCTGCACTTGACACATCTCTTGAATCAGGTTGCCCGGTGTCAGCAAAGTAACGTCCAAGCGTTGAGTGAGCGCCCTGCTGGCACACCATTCTAGAATAACTCCTTGATCTCGTTCAGTTCTTCCTTGTTCTTGCGGCGCGACATAGGCATAGCCGGTTTCTCGGGACACCAACGACAGGTGGCTGTTTGTGTACCATCGGCCGGCAACAAGCCTGAGAGCAACTTCTGCAGTTGCACGGGTAAACGAGACGTCCATAGCTTTGTTTCCATAGCACAACGGCATATGACTCGTGCTCACCACGCCAACGAGCATGCGTTCATATCACGAGCCTCGGAACTGTTCTTGTTGACAGCTGGTTATTAGGGTCATAGGCTGCGGTGCAAAGTCTGAACCCAGATGTGACATGGGTAGCAGCTGGCTACGTTTCGTCAGCTCATGAAAGATGAAGGCGAACACTGACTGTCCAGGATCCTTAATTGGTGTCAAACCAAGTGCCGGACCCATTTCGCTGACGTGTTGCCGCCCACTTGCCCGGAAGAACTGATGCAATCTCCAGCATTGTCCTTTTGGGACCCCGCTTGTGGTGTGCAAATCTCGTGCTGTGGTAGGCCCATGGGGCTCCCACTCATAGGCAAGCCACCAAAGGGGCGAGCGCTCCAGGGGCTGACGCCTGGAAAACTCCAATGGTCACAGCTGCTCAGACTGACTGCGACTGCGATTGGTAAACTGCTGAGGCCTTGCCCATCGCGCAGCTCGGTCTAGCTCCCACTGAAGCTCGCTCTTTGCTGACCTGGGAACCTGCAGTTGCACATACGAGTATGAGTGCGTTTCAGAAACAAAACAAACTTGCCACACTCAGCGCGAAGCTATACCATTCTCCTGGCCAATTCACTGAAGTGCGACAGCATGACAGTCTCCCTTGCACGCTTTAGCTCACTAGAGTATGACCTGTAAGAACCTAAGGGCTCGGCATCAGGCTCCGGGTTTGGAAGCCTATCAATCTGCGCCTGCATCCTGCAGCAAGGATGCAAGGGCAGCGGTCTTGCGCAGTGGCTGCCGATGGCTGCCGCCAAGTAGTTTGCCGGCCTCTTCAAGGACGGGACGTCTAATCGCTCCACCGGAGTCATTGGCTCAGCTGCGGGAGGCTCCACCTTGAGGATTTTGCTTTAGGAACTTTAGGGACGACAACGCGCTCTATGCTTGTGGAGTGGGAAGGGATGCTCAGTAGCCCTGCATTGCATTTTGGCTGTCGCAGGAATCGGGGTCCTGACCTTTGGCACCGGCCTCAGGCCGCGGGCACCCTGTGGAGGCTCGAAGGAAGGCTCTCCCTGACCTCAGCGGCGACCAGGGTTCAATTTGACAAGCCTCCGGTCTCTCAGAGATGGCCTGTGTCTGCCGGTGCATTTGAAGGGACGGCCCGATCGACCTGTCCCGGCATATTCTGGAATGCATCGCCGAGAGATAATCCACATCAACATTGCGGGAGCTGGCGACAGGTTCACTCCCAAAATGCTGGCATCCGCTGGCACCCCGCCTTTTCTTGCAGCTCGGAGAAGATGGTCCAAGCATTGTGCCTCACGAAGCTTGGAACGGCTCGTGTGCTTGGCCTGGCAATACCTGGCATGCTGCGATGCCCTGTCTTCAGCCGCAGACGACCAGAATAGGCCATCCGCACCATTCACTTCTTCGAAGAGCCTCTCCTTCAACACTTTGTGACCCTTGTGACACTGAGACACCGCTATACGGACTTCAAGTGGGTCTTGGCTTTGTACCTGCACTGCAGGCTGACTAAGGTCCGGGAGCGGCGGTGGCAGAAGCTTCCATCCCTGCACAAAATACTATCGAATTTGGAGGAGTCTACTTGCTTTTAAGTGCCAGGCATCCGTCACTGCGGATGCCACAATGTCTTCCGCAAGCTCAGAAGCCAGGCTCACGGTCTGCCAGGGATGCGACTGCAGCGATCAAGCAGAGTTAATCAGCCACCTACTCGTTCAAAGTAACTTCTGCATACGGCCGTCCAGCCAATGGCTTATACTCGTAGAGACAACTTGAGAAAGAGACTTTGGATTGACTGTTTCCCTGAATAGCTGTGAGATGAACGGAAGACCTGCTCTTTGACCATGTGCGCTTGAAGAGCTGCTCTCCGCTCCCAGTGTGCATCCTCAGGGTATCAGAATGCAGACATAGGGAGCCTTGCAAACCTGGAATCTTCTGGTGTTCAGCTGCTGGCTCCAATAATTGCTGAACCGTTCATTGCCAGCTCAGTAATTGGCTCCTCGGTTGCCCATGCGCCTGATCTACATCCAGTCGCGGTGGACAGCAACGCCGAGTGCAGCACCAGCAGCTGGGGATAAGTTTGGAGGCACCTGCTATGCACAAAGTCGCCAAGCGAAAGCTACTGCACGCAGCAAAGCGGGCATGCTGGAATGCAGTAGAAGGCGTTGAAGAAGCAAGCGCACAGTGAAAGCAGCGGGAGGTATTGAACTTACTTGTGGTATCGAACAATGCAGCTGAACGAATTAAATGAGGCAACTTCTGATGCTTTCAAAGCTGATGGACACATACTCACAGTTGCGGTCCAAGCAATTCTAGAATGCATGAGAAAGCCAGCTGCGTGCACCAGCTTGATTGGAAGGTGCCAGGGGCTGAGGAGGTGAAGGAGAACATGGTTTGCACCTTGGTATTCAGGACTGCTTGACAGGCTACACAACGTCTTGGAATCTCGTAGCTCGGGCTACCTGCTCTTGCATCTGGACTATGAAGCACTTTTCTTCTGCTCCTACCCTGCATGTCGTCGTCCGAACATTCTGCGCTTCCTCCGCTTCCTCCTCAAAGAATGAATAGGCCGAGCTCCGAGCATCCTCACCTGGAAGAACGCGCCTGAGGCTTGTAGGCGTGTCAGCAAAGGATCTCTGTCTTATCGCTGACCCACACGTGCTGTCCACATCCTGACGAACCATGACAGCTGGGGCTACCACCCGGACGTCTGATGGCAAGTGAAATGCTGAGTGGGGTCTTGCGGCAGCATGCTTTCCTGCCGGCTGGCACTTGTAGATAGGCAACCTAGCAAGATGGGATGAAGCCTGCACAACAGAATGCATCAATAGCTACGAAGTGCAGAAGCATGTGCTGGAAAAGAGGCTCAGCGAGAACGGGCTTTTTTAGGCGGGCATAGATCATCTTGATCATGAGCCAACAGACTACCTGCTTCATTTTATCAATACCAAGAGACAACAAGGACAAATTCTGCTGGCAATCCCAGAAGACATCGAAAAGCTAGCAACAAAGACAGAAAGAACAAGTACTATTAACATCTACTAAACGCAATGGTAGATATTGACTATGATTTGCACGTGAAGGTGCTTCATCGAGTGTAGAGAAGGACATGTAGGGGTTAGGGGTTCGGTTATAGTTATTCGTAAGTTGCTCTCTCTCTCTGGTAGCGGTGCCTCCAGGGCTTCTATGATTTGAATCAGCTGTGGCTACACTTTGGAGTTGAGAGGGCTTTTGTGTTTGAGTTTGGCGTTTTGCTATTTTGGGATCTAGGATTACCGGTATGTCAATGTCACTTAGAACTTTCAGGGCACAGGGATTCAGAACGTTAAGTGTCTCGAATCCAGAGATTTGGGCGAACAGGTGAAGATTATAGAGCTTTGGGTTGAGGCTGGTTTAGGGTTTGAAATTATTGGATAAGTGGCTAGTGAGTGTTGAGTTTGCGGTACTTTGGGGTGAAAGCTTGTCTTTTTGGTTTGAGGGTTCAGTAGTTTTGGGGACCAGTGCAGTGTCTAGACCTCTAAAGCTCCAGGAGCGCCTAGATTCCTAGATTCTGGGCTTGCTGTCGGAAAATTGCAGTACTGCGCTGTGGGCCGTCGGGCTCAGGCTTTTGGACATTTAGTATGGTCTTGGGGCTTCAATTTTGTTTTTTTTTACCAACCCCTCGCACCTTTTCTGATGCAAGCAATCGCTGGGGAGGAAAATGCCAACGCTTTCGTAGTCCATGACATCCCCACAGAATGCCAGTTACTGGCATGGTCACCCAGTCCTCATTTTTCCTCAGACATACCCTCAGGCATACCTTCAGGATCCTCTGCTGAGGTTTCAGAGTTTGAGTGCCAAGGTTTGGTCTTTGCTCTGTGTGGCCGTTCTTCGGTATTACATCTTGCTCTGCTGACGGACTACATGAGGAAAGATCAACAAGGCAGGAGACAAACAAGAATGCCGAACGATGGGAACTCAGGAGGAAAACACAGAACATGGCAACTCAGCAATGCCGATCTGTCGGTAATGTTTAAACGATTTAAGATGAATAAATCGAGAAGCGCAACGGAAGGAGACCAATAGACTTCAAGGATCTTCGGGGATGTTGCAGCTTGACCTTCTGCTCAGAGTAAGCCCCGACTGGTTGCCCTGCCTGGAAACCCTGCCGTGGCGCATTCTGAAGCCACTCGAACCTTCCAGACAGAGGATAGAATAGAATGGCATCGGCCGCATGATAGCTTGACTGCCCGGGTGCCAACGACTCACAGTGCAGCTTGGTGGCTGAATCGCAGCCGACCCAGTATTTCTCAGGCGGATCGTTCGGGTGCAGGTCCTGGTATGGCACACAGGGTATGCATGGCACATGCCCCAGAAATTTGTGGAAGCAGCCTGCGCCTTTGGGAAACTCAAGGCGGCTGTGCGTTTTCACGTCTGCCTGGAAGTGCAGCTGAGACGGGGTCACCTGCAAGAGCGAAATGTTGACAGCACAACGCAAAGGCGTCAGGACCTGAAGGTGGCTTGCAGCTTTAAAACGTTGCCTCTGCATGCGGGCCTGCAATTGGTGCCTGGCAGATCGAGAGCTACTTTGCGTGATCGATGATCGGCCCGCATGAATCACGTGCGCTCTCAGCACATGGCCGCAGCGGCGCTTGTCAGAGGCTCCTATGAGATATGTCGCACGCAAAATGGGCGGGGGTGTTCTTGCATGATATGCTGCCATTCCTTCTCCAGCGGCATGGTATTGTCGGCCGTGGTACCCTCTTCGAGTAACGCCGCCATGAGCTCCTCATCTCCGAGGCCTGCAGGGCAGTGATGCCGACAGAACAGCACCAAAGGTCCTGCTATGTCCTGCCAGGTCCTGCCTTGCCACATCTCAGCCACTGGAGGACGCAATGGCTTGACCTTGTCCAGACACTGCGGCCCTCGGAGGCCCTCGTCTGCAGAGCATCGACATGAACCTCAGGCTCCATGAGCTCGTCATACTCGAGCTGGCCGGGCGCAAGCTCCTCAGGTCTGCTCAATTTGGTTCGTCGCAGCTCATGCATGGAAACTGACCTTCATCTTCGCGCCGTACTTCCTGATCCGAGTCAGAAGGTACCTCGTGCTGCTGGCTCATCGAAAACATTATACAATTCTTCAGCTACTGACCAACTGGTAGCCAGCCACATTACCTTTTCGCAGCTACCCTCAGGCGACGTGCAATACGCAGGCAGTCCTGGCCGTTTGCAGCCCTTGTGCCAAGTCGGGAAGGGCACTCATCATCCCGCCATGATCGAGGCTTCTTCTTGCCACTGGCCTCTGCTGTATGCCTTCACAAGAAGCAAATGACTATGTACAATCCTGTTGAAATGGATGCCCAGAAAGAGCCCCTTTTGACGCAACTACTGCAAGAAGGATATGTTGCTATGCCAAGGCCTCGCAGTAGTCAAATCCACGAGCAAGGGCTTCCTGACAGCAATCACAGCACTGTCTCACTTCTTCTCGAGCGCTGCCAAAAGTAGACGCTGCTAACCCCACCTGATGATTTCATGCACAAACTTCTCCTGTCATTGGCAGGTTGGCCGGTTACATCAAAGCCATGCAGTGCAGAGCAAGCTTGTACAGGCTTGCCAAATTCCTTGTGCAGCTTCATCGGCAGGTACAGTCCAGAGAACATGTTCCCAACCTGATAAATGAGCTGTACGTGCTGCACCAGACGGCAAGATCACGCGCTGTGGAGCACCTGGATGAATCGTGCGCCCCCTCCACGAAGAGAGTGGTACCAGTTGAAGCCTCAGGCTCCATTGTAAACAGCGAACAGCGGTATTTGCAAACGGAAAGATTTAATTCAGGAGGCAAGGCGACACCAGCAGCGTTGTATGGTGAACGTCGGCTCCCGGGATGTATTCAAATGAAACAGCCAAACTACAGACGATCTTGAGGACCTAGAGCACGATAGGGGGATTTATCAATCTGATTCGATTTCCTTGAGGTTCAGACCTCCGCTTTTGATCTCTTCCGGGGTGGCCTGCCAGACCGCCCGGTGCACCCGCAAAGGAACATTCTGACCGACAACCAGAAGGGCGCACCCGATCCAGGAGTTCCATCACCTGCTTCATGACGTCAGAAAGTTGGATTGGTAACTCCAGGCTCCATGCAGATAGTAAACATCCTGGAAACCGCATCATGACATTGCGTTTCGAATCAAGGTGAATGAAACATCGCGGAGAAATCATCGGCCGAGCAGTCGTATAATGTGGGAAAGCTCGCGCCTCCAGCCTCTCCCTATACTCTTCTGCCCGTGTGACAACAAGCCTTTTGGCAGAGAGCTTAAGTCGGCTAAAGACAAAAGGCGAGCGGCAAGCTCGAGAACTGAGCTCCTGGCTCCTCCTTGTCCCTGCCAGTCCTGTCCATGAAGAGATGCTGAAGATGCAACATGTCACAGAGCGGGCTGCTGCAAGCTGCAAATTGAAACGCTGCTCATATGCTGGATTCTAAAAGATGGCGCATCTGAGCTGCAGGCTTGCGAGAAGCATGATGTCGGAATTTTTCCCACTCTTCTTGCCTGACCCACACGCAAACAGGCAAGAGTATTCGAGGATGCAGCTGGCCACGCTTGCAGTTCAAGTCTTGTCGCATCGTGTCCGCACCGAGAGGCAGGCTGCTGCGCAAAGCGATCGAGTGCACGATCGTACCTCAGGGTTTGCGCTCTTAGCATTTAATCACACCTCTGGTTCTGTGCCCGGCACCGTTTAGCTATTATCTGCTCTTCCAGAGTGCGCGTCTTCAGACTGACACTCTTCCTCTCCTTGGCCTGCGCAGGCTTGTAAGCTGCAACTCAAATGCAGCGGAACATAGTGAAGTGATGTTGATCACCTGATTAATCCTGATTACGTTCCCATGCGAGCAAACTGACCCTGCCCCGGAATTCAACAAGGTCACCTCTCAAATATTCTTTGAAAAGCTCGGCAAGGCTTCAATCTGTTGCTGCTTAGCCTGCCTTCCTACACATATTACGCAGACCTACAGTGGTCACATCGATTCGCTAGCAGGGAAGTGGAAAAGTCTGAGAGGGGCTTACGATGGCTTATGTTGAGTTTAGCTAAATGACTTTGAAACAGGTGCACAGGCCCAGCGACTCGCCTTTGGAGGCAGCACCTGGCAGAGCCAAAGTTGGCTTTGCACAAGAGCAGAATATGAGGACGGTCCTGTGAGGATGTGGAGAGTCGCTGCCCGCGGGCGGGCAACGCCATATTGGGTGAGATATGAGGAGGCGACCTGCATCAATCTAGCATCAGACCGTCGCAGCTGGTGCAAGCTTTCAAATCGATTCCGAGACCAAGGCAATTCCGGATCTGGAGCATCAAGCTCATCCTAACCAGGCTCAAACAGCATTTCTTGCACTCCGGTGCATGTGAGATCAAGAAAGCAAAGCTATCCTCCGCCAGGTCCACCAGCTGCTCTGATTGTGGCGGCAGTGGGTCCGACGGGTCAAGCCCCAGATTCTCCATCTGTGCCTCTGGAAATTCAAGGAGTCGTTCTGCGACCGGCACTCCTACTCAGCTATCACCACCGCCTTGTGCCTCTCGTAAGTTGAGGATGACACCTCTGACCAAGCTGATAGGCTGACCGTAGAGCGAGAAAAACTGCAGGCTCATTGCCGCTGCCTTCCTCTTGATTACCACTCGGCGACGTGGCTGCGGCCTTGCTTTGCTTCGTGGTGATGAGGCGTTCTCAGCAAAAGCCAGGGTGGGAAAACAGCTTGCCTGGACGTCATGTCGGCAGCTCCCGTGGGACCTGAGCAGGAAGCGTTGTCAGGGCTTCCTCCTCAAGATCCTTTGTTAGTAGGGCTTCAACATGCTTCAACCTTTATCCTGGGAAAGCACAATTGTTGAACAGCAGGTCGACTGTAGAATGTAATTGTTTCGAGTATATGCTGGGGACATGAAACGCTCTGACACGTTGAAATGGCGGCACTGGCATCATGACGGCACTGGCATCATGACGGATACAGAGAGACCCATATCTTTATAGAGGTCCCTCAACAGTACCACTCGGCTGAGTTCTAGCTCCTTTCTCCAAACTAGGTTCGCGGCGACTTGGAACCTACGTAGCAAGGGCACGCTGTGGCTAACAACTCTTCAGCTGGCGCACTCAAAAGTTCCACAGGGCCTCCATGGCCACGAGTGGTGCCGGCTTTGACCGCCAACTCTGTCAAATTATGAGTTGTGATGTGGCTGACTCCAATGCGTTTTAACATATTGTAAGTATGTGTCTAGCTATGAGCCCCCCGGCGAACGCAGTTGGGATCTGGCTTGCTCTTCATGATGTGCTCAATGTTTGGCTGCATATCTCCGAAACTGCAAGCCAATGGGAGGTATAAAGCATGCTGCACATAATAAGGTTCTAGCAGCCTCAGGGCTTGCAGGGCGCGTGAGCTACGTTTTTGTCACTTACGCGATGCTCTGGCGCAGCGTCGCCAGCCTGGCAAGTACAAAGTGAAGATACCAGATATTACCAGATCATTCATTCCATCTTGAGACCAAAAGGCAAGCGCGAAGAGATACTTAACACCATTGGGGGATTTGATTTCAGAGGGTCGAAGACTAAGGTTGCCGCACCTCCAGAGCTACGGAAGTAGAAGCTGAGAGCTGGACCCACCGATCAAGTTTCTTGCCTCTGCCGCTGTTCGCCAGAGGCCCGCTGAGCTGTTGGAATCCCTGCCAGAGGAAAGCCATGCGTACAGAATTGCCACTGGAAAAAAAACTACGCTGGAACAAGTTGTCGAGCAGTCCAACAGCCTTCCATCCAAGTCCAGCAATTGCAGGCGCAGGGTATCGGCAAAGAACCCTGACGCTGAGCTCTGCCTCCAGAAAGAAACATGTCTACTCGATGTAAGAGCACATTCATTCATCAGGCTGCGTCGCGGACTCGACTTCCACACAGCCGACCCGAAAAGCGCCGGCCTCGACTCACAGACAGATTCAAACAGCACATAGCTTGCACCTCCCTGCCTGGCGGATGTAGCCAACTGTTGGACAAGTGCCGCGTGTCAACTTGCAATTCCCCACGGGCTGCCTGAGCGTTCCCAGCACCAGAAGTCTGCGAAGCGAGATTTTTTTTGGCGGGCCTGGTGCCGTCTGACTCCCAGGAGAACCCCACAAAGCAGTCTCCAGCAGCACAAGGTGCGCCCGATGACCATTTCCTGCCATGCATCTGTCTCTCACAAGTGCCTTCAAAGCACATAGCTTCATTCACATGGTATGGTGACTACGTCCGCAGTTCTGCTCGCAATCACGGCTGAGCCTCGTGCGAGGAGTTCTTTCAACCATATAGCTTCCGGCTTTGCACCGACTTGAGGGGCGAGCCGAGGCCAACCAAAACTAGCCGGGCTCCATCTAGTACTGGAGTAGGGTAGTAGCGGAGGAGGGAAGGTACATGCCAGCAAAAAGCACAAGCCTTTTTCAGGGGCCTTTTAAGACCCTTCGCAGAACCTCGCCAACTCGACTCCAGTGTCCATTCTCTTTGCACTTCACTTGTCACTCCACAGCACCCCACTTGCCTTTCCAGCTCTCTCCTTCCCAGTTTCCCCATTCTCCCAGTCTTTGCTCCACGTTTCACACCACTGTCCAGTCTAATTCTGACTTTACTCTGGATTATCCGCCCTGACTCCAAAGACAACTCCAAATTCCACTCCACCCTTATTCCCTGTCCCTTTCAGCATCACTCACCACTCCACTCTGCAATGCACTCTCCACTCCACTCTCCAATCTATACTCCACCCTCCACTGCTTCTCCACCTCACTCTCCACTTCTTTCCACCGCACTTTCCCCTCACACCTGTCCCTTCCACTCCTTTCCATTCCGCAATGGCGCAAGCAGCGCAATCCCGGCATTCTCTGCCAACGTCCAAGAGCCAGGACGGGCACGAGGATGGCGAGTCTCACTGTCCTGTCCCGGCATGCGACGAAGACACGACCAGGTACGAGCATGGCAAACTGAAGGCGCCCTTGCCTGCGTCGGTGGGCATGTCTTACAAAAGGTTCCAAAAGTGGCGACCGTTGCCAGGATGGCGACCCCAAGGCGTCTCATACTCTTCACACGCAACAGGAACGTGACTCTCCAACAGCAGATAAAGTTACCTAGGTGGCTACCCCAATGTGCAGCCGCCCCGTGACTGTTGGCACTCATGAATTTTTCACACGCTACGAAGCAGCAACGCTTCCCCGCCGGCCGGCCCCATGCCCTTGACTGAATGCACCTTTGACACGCGACGCAGCCACGATGGTCCCAAAGCGACAACGTATACGAGGATGGTGACGGCGCGAATGGTTGGAAAAGCTTGCGAACACTTGTGGATGCGTTGCGGACGCTTTGCGGACGCTTGCAGAGACGTGCGCCATGAGTTTGCTCGGCCATGGATTCCCAGATCGCAACATTGAAACAAGACCCCTTCCGCAAAGCACTCAGCAATAACAGGAAGGCGGCATGGAACAACTAAGCAAGATGTTGCTTGTAGCATGACCACACAACGTCGGGAACAATATGAAAGGGGAAGAGAGGTTTGACTCGACCACGAAAAGTGAACTTACCCGCGCTCTGGCCCAAAAAGGGGTCAGAAAGAGAAACAAGACTGGATGCAACCACAAAACAAAATGGCACTCATACCAAAAGCACGCAGGAAACAAACACCAAAACACAAGGCGACATGCAACGACCAGGCATGACGTGCTCGGTACCATGACCGCTCAATGGTCTCAACACAGCAAGAAATTGTTTGTTTCAAGACCAGGCAAAAGCATCGAACACAACAGAAGGACGGCGAGGAGCAATGCAGCAACCCGCCATGATGATGCTTGCCGGGTAGTGATCAAAACAGAGGGGCGAGGGAGGTTTGACGAAGCGACCAGCACGGCGTATGCATACCTTCATGGGGACCTTGCAGCTTGAACAAACATGGAGACTGCTTGGGAATATGGAGGAGTTTACAAAGGATATATAAAGGTCATAGAATGGGTTGCAGGGAGGGGTCAGTGCTAGAGGTTCCTCCCTAGAACCCGCAAGTCTAGAGAACTTGGAAGATTCAAGACTACACTTCATCGTTGCGCAGGACTGTGGATGATGAATTGGAGTGACAGCACGTTCAATCAGTCTGTTTACTCCTTAAAGTTGTGGATACAAGGCCCATCCCACTGACAAAGCATGTCTTCAGCAGAAATGAGCAGTACAGTACTTTAGTACGGCAGGTAGACGGTCCCAAGATCGCTCAGGCCAGTAATGGAAGCGCTGCTGCTGTGAAATGTCAATTCAGACAGGCCCACACAGAGCTGGCTGCTGATGATGGGAGCCGAATTGGTTCATGGAAAAGCTCCTGCGTGAGCACAGCAATCTCTTGCCTGCAACCAATGACACAGCAGCTTGCAGGTACTTCACCCATAGTCAAATTCCTATATGACGCTTTCCACGTTCACATGGCAGGCGGGTCCGCTGCAACCCCTCCGCGCCCTCGGTGGTGTGAAAAAGCGGCACCGTTGGCGCCGCTGCGCCTGCCAGATTTGAGGAGTTGCCGGCTATGCCACAGGCCACACTGGCTTTAAAAACAACGCTTCCGAAACGCTTTCCAAGCCTGTCTGGCACCGTTTCTATCAAAGACTCCTGGCGCCATGCATTGCTAGAGTGGTGATTTCTGCTATAACGTCCATACCTTTTGCGGTCGGGGTGGTGCAAAATGCTTCAAGAGTCCGGTGATGAACTGAAATACTTCACAACTACTTGCGCAACCCAGTCCGCAGAACAGTTCTCGGCGAGGTAAAAGCGCAAAGCTGCCAGATCCCAGGATTCACCTCATGGATCTGCCCATTGCAGCGAGTAGTCGCCAACGGTGGCCAAGCAGCTGGCTTACAGCGGATGAAGCCAGGATTCGCCAGCCTGGCTTGCCAATCCAAAAGCTGGTTTCAGTATCTCCCTCTGTGACAGGAACTCGGGATGGGAAACTTTACCTAAATTGAATTCGGAATCGTTCAGAATCCACCTCACATATTGTTGAGTACGCCACAGCCAACACGCCTACTGCGAATCGATGCTTTGCTCCAGAACTGCTTCTCCGCAAGTGAAGCTGTCCAAACAGCAAAGCCGGACAACATATGCGTGGAAGCCTGAGAGCTTCTCGCGCAATGAGATGCGGGCTTAAGGCACTAAGCCACTCTGCGAATCGATGGTTTTGGGGCGCAGCAGTTGCCTACACCGGGAACTTCTGATAATGGGTTCGCATGTTTCAGTCATAGAGAAGCCAACCCCGTTGCAAGCGCGTCAGCCTCGCTGTGCGATGCAAATCCTCTTCGGAAGCAGCACATCTGGCGAGCGACAGCAGCAGGTCATGTCTGGCAGCTTTTGACTTCAAAGAACTGTATGGCAGTCCTGGCCTCCGCATCAGTGGAGTTGCATGCCCCCGTGCAGAATGTGCTTTCAGCATCCCATCGCTGCAAGTATCCCGTGGGACACTGAAGCCTTGTGCACCTTGCGGTCGCCAATGTGTAAAGAACAGCGCCAGGAAGGAAATTCAGGAAATGCAAAAAACACGGATTATGCTGAATTAGTGCGTGACTTAAGGGCGCGGCGGCATATCCATCTCTTGCGCGCTTGTGGGCGTCCACCAAGACATAGACGCTAATCCGAGGAGCGCCTTGGGTCTGCAGACGCCTCCAGGTCTCCAATTGGTTGAAGAGCCCAGTGCTGAGGCTGCAGCATGCCTTCCCTTCAAGGGAAGGCCCATGTTTCGCTTAGCTGGTACCGCGCTTAGAGCAGTGCTTTTGTTAACGAGATCCAGCCATCTGGGGCGTTTTCAAATGTGTCATGTGCCCTCCGCACTTAAGCCCAGAAGCTGCTTGCGGCTGTCCTGCAACTGCTTCACTTTGGTCCACAGCAGAGTCAAAGTGGCATTTGTCTTCCAACGGCTGCTTGAATTCCTCTTCCTAGCAGTGAGACACCGCTTCTCACCGCACCTTTAGAACAGGAGTTCGCACTCATCGTTTTTTCAAAGGCATTTGCTCCGCGCAAGCATTGCTCCAGCCTTGCACTTTCTGCGGCATTCGCTTCAGGCCAAACCTCCGCACTGAACCACATATAACATGTACCAATGCAATGGCTCAATGCTTTGAAGGCTGTTTTGGCGTTCTGTAAGTAGCCGGCCAGCGAGTCTGGATCTTTCGGGCGGCCAGTTGCCGCTTGCGGCGCCAGCGGCGGACATAGAATTGTACGAGCAGCACCTCTTTCCCCGAGAGGTCAGGTGGGCCCATGACGGCCCATGACACAAACCTACTACACGGCTGAGCTTTGCGGCTGCTCGGATCCGCCGCTGCGCCATCTCTTGTCGTTGTCTCCAAACACGCTGCACCTGCAGAATTGCTTTGAATCTCTGTTGCAATCGGCAACCTGGACGAAGGTCTAGAGTTTACAGTTTGGAGTACGGAAGACCGTGGCAATTCACCCTGACGGCTGTGAAGTCTCAAGCCTTTGCAGCACTTTTTTGGAGCGCAAGCGCATCTGCTTGTCTTGTTGCCTGTCACGAGTCTCGCAGAGCCATTGGACATCACGTTTAATTCACCTGAGACTTTGGGCCTCCTCTGCTGCAAACATCTGGTGCACGCTGGCTCTCTTTCTGCCTCATGAGCCGGTGACAAACGCAACATAACGCAACCTTTGGACCAGGCCCAACTGGCTCATCCAGGCTCGAGCCTTCTGAAAGCCTCTCCCCATCTCTCCCCTCTCCCATCCACCCCCACCCCCCCCCCCTTCACCCCTTTCTCTTTCTCCTCGGCGAGCCAGGCTTGGCAAGTAGATCCCAGATCCTGCTGCGGCAGGTCTTCGTACCAAACGCCCGTTTGTCCCTTGCTGTCCCAGCACATGCTCGTTCTGCCTTCATCAAGGATCACAAAGGAAGCCGTCCGCCTTTCTCGCCATAATCTTGTTATTTCCGCGACGTGTACCGGAAGCACGGTCTGCATGCGCTCTGACACAAGTCTGGATACTTGTATGTACACACGTGGATACATGTTGCATGCCACGTGCTCAGTCTTGCTCCAAGCTCCCTCAGCTTGTCCTGCCTGCTGTGAGCGCCCCAGCCGAGGCAGACGCGCGCTGGCGGCACTTACCTAAACGCAGCAGAGACACCTCGAGCCCGCTCCGTCTCCAAGTCTTGGAGGTGTAAGGCCTTTGCCATGTCAAATCCCTTGAAAAAGAACTCGCACCGAATGCCGCGAGCGCCTGCTCCTGCAGCTCTGCCTGAAGAACTTCAGCTTCGGCTTCTTTGGCCGCAGCCTGTTCTTTGCAAAGTCGCGAACTGCGGCAGGCCACCATGCAAGCCTGCCTGCGACTCTGCCCAGACAACCTTTGCATACGTCGCTAATGCATGCCCATGAGTTTCAGCAACTCTGAGAAACTCGGCCTCGCGGGCCTCGCATCTTAGCCGTCGACTTGTCTCGACTTGTCATCAGTGCTGGCCTTCAAGGCCTCTGGCACGGCTCTGCATGAACACTTCCTGATGTCACCGTTAGCAAGGAAAATGGCCTCTGCAGCAAGCGCTGCTTGCTCCGAGCGCTGCATCGCCTGCGATTCAAAGCAGCAGCAAGCATGGCTCCTGGAGGCTGCGTCTCGGTTTTAATGCTCGCATTGCATTGAGCTCCACTCTTGTATGACTTCCAGCGTGCCTTTGTCCTGGCCTCAGGTCGCGGCACCGCTGCAAACAGCAGGAGGCATTAACGTCGACGAGGTCTGCACGTCCGCAAGCCTCCTGTGGACGATCGGAATCAGCGCCTGCAGGCTACAAACCATTACAACCCTGCTTTCAATTTGTTAATCTCATGTCAGCCTCTGGTGAGAGATGCGGAGGCTGGCTGCCAAGTAGCTCCTGATGCGATTCAGCCGTGCGTCACATAGCTGGCAAACGCAAGCAGCGGCCCTGATTCAAGCAGCTCTCTTGTAAAAAGCACACCACTCCGCTTACATTGAGGAGAGCTGCTTCGTCCAAACCCAAACCGAACAGAATGCTGCTGATTACCCACGGCAAGCTGGGAATACCTGGGCATCTTCTGCAAGTGCAAGCAACATGAGAGAAGTTGGGATCCTGCCATGTGGTGACTGGCGGCGACCAGGCGCTTGGAAGGCTCGACCTTTTCCAACCATTCCAACACCACTTGAGCTGCTGAAGGCTGCTGAGCTGCGGGCTCCATCACCTCCAATCTTCCCTTCAGCATCTCGAGCTCAGCTGATTGAGACTTGACCTCTGGAAGCACGAGTTCATCTCTTCAGAAGCCGCCAGCCCGGTCCACTCAGGCTAGCGCCTCTTGCTCCAGGCGTTGGATCGACATCCCTGGCATTCACATTTGCAAGTCAAGACATCTCCATTTCGGCCAAGGGGAAGAAGAAGCAATGCCAAGCACCCCACCCATTCGGAGGTCGGCTGCCAAATGCCGCCTAGGTCAAGCGCAATACTGTCCGGAAACCTCTCCACCTGACTTCTACCAAGTTGCAGATGACCCAAGAATGACTGAAGTTCCTGATGCTCCTGGCAGAAGGAAAAGCAAGCCCCTATTGTGTCTTGTTTGAGGATGAGAAGTTGCCTCTGGCAACTTTGGCATGTTCATGAAGGCAGCCAAGGTCTTCTTCTTGATCCGAAGCTGAAATAAAGCCATCAGCTCAGACTCCTCCGCAAGAGCAAAACAACGCCAATCTGAGGGCCCAGTGTCATGACAACACCTGCTTAGAAAGATGCTTCAGATCTTGAGGTTGTCCTCGCCCGCCTCTAACACCTTGGCCCCTGATCAGAGCATAAACGGGTCGTGTAAAACTTTGCTGCTGGAAGGTGCAAGGCTTCGAAGGCTTCGCTGCAGGCCTTCCTTCCGCAGTGGCGGCAGTGGCGGTGAAACAGCCTTCGCTGCCTCGGCTACAAGCTGGCTCACTCGCAAAATCTCGCAAATCTTCAAGAAAATCATTTCCGTGCCTCAAAAAAACGTGCAAAGATCCAGCGCTGATGAAGACCTCGGCAATGCCCACTGAGTATCGTGCAGTTTCAAGAGCTCCTTCAGCTCTCCATGCCACTAATCCTTTAGCGTCCACGTGGTAAGCTCTTCTCAGTTCAACACCCCATCGGACACCACGCTGTTCCAACCAGGCCAAGACGGCTGCCAAGCTTGCACTTTCGTCCTTTTCGTCCGTGCCAGACGCAGAACTCTTGCGGGCAAAGCATGGCAAAGCGTTCCAGCCTCCCCTGCGATGCTGCAACACAAGTTCTCCAATTCGTTGCCGCGTTCCTCTGCAGTCTCCACAGACCTGGCGTCAGCGAACAACAGCACGTCAGCATCTACGTGGGATGTGAATTTGGGCTCATCTCGATTTGTGCCCTCTTTTCGCACTTTCATCAGAACATTCTTCTGACCTGCGGCCACTAAGAGATGCGTACACATCCAGCTTGGGGCATCTGCTTCGCATGGTTGTCCACTGAGAACGGCAGGCTACCCAAAGGGTGCCAAAAACTCGGCAGCAGCTCTTCAACTCTTCTACTCTGTACTTGAGATCAGGAACTGGCGTTGATTCAGCATGATTCAGCAGTGCATGCTAGCCAGGTTGAAGGGCTGCAATGCCAAACTGGGACGGGGCACCAAACGGCGAAAAGCATGCACTCGAAACGAGATGCGCATATGAAAGCGAATTCTGCACAGCATGCGCTTTGACAAGACTTTGGACTTTGAAGGCAGCTGACCTTCTTGGAAGCAACGAAGCTACAGACTCCGAATCACGGCTTGCAGTTGGAAGCAGGCTCTAACTCAGAGATGCATGCTCGAATTGCGAATGCTTTCTGCGACTGGACAGTTTGCTCCATCGTCACCTCTCGCAGGGCCTCTTCCCACACCTCACCTCAATGTCCGAACAAATGTCACCGTGTAAATGAATCTCAAGTCCCGTCAACCTGCCTGGAGCCTTGTCGATTCCAGATTGCACTGTAGCCCTGTTAGCGCGTGTCTACGCCTCAAGACAGAATAAGTCCTTGCCAGGACGCGCTCTTGTGGTGCAACTTTCGCTCCAGCCCGACAGAGACAGCGGATCATGTCCAAACGACCTTCGCTCGCTGCCCAAAGAAGCGCTGTCCATCCATGCTGATCCTGCGGCACAGACCCCTTTAAAATGTTCTGAACCTGCTGACGTCAGAACCCTATGAGTCTAATTTTTTTGCGAGCGCCGGGTCCTTGACCTCCAGGTTGGCACGAGCCCCGAGAAGTACCTGCAGCGCCGTCGTGCTCCCAGAAGCCGCAGTGAGCATCAGAGGTGTGAGACCGTCCGCGGAGCTGTGGTTTACGTCTGCTCCTGAGCTGTATAACTGTAGAACTGTATATCCTTTATGATACGGAATTACAATCTCGTCTCGCACACTTCTGGCTAATCTTGAGGCCGCGGCTTCTTTCCAGAAGCAGCTTGAAGGTCTGCAGTTTGGACTCTTCCACTTCGTGCTCTTGAAGGGGATTGTTGATAATGTCCAGGCCATTAGAAAAAGTGTGCATTATGGCTGTGACTCCATTGTCGTCCTCCATGTTCACAGATGCTTTGGCATCAAGCAGCAACTTCACTACTGCGGCAAAGTTCTGAGAGTTTGAGGGCGGATATACTGCGGAGCAGGCAGCCCACATGAGCGCGGTCATGCCCATGTCATCCTGTAGATCAATGCGGCTGCTTGCCAAAAGCTCTTCCACATCAGAGACGAGGCCAGCCATTGCTGCTTGCATCAAGGGAGTACGCCCAACAACTTTGTTTGCAGAGAAACGCGTCCTGTTCCGTAAGCTGTAGCTCGACAAAGACTGCACGTAGTTCCATCGACTGGACTGCGAGCCCTGGCAATTTAGATGCTGAGAGTCATTGCCTTCAACTTGCTTCGCAACGCCAACTGAGGGGAGACGTGGATCTTCAGTACCTGGGAGCACCGCATGACTGCAGCGACAACTAACTCAGTTTCTTCAGCTCTTCACGGTGCTTATAATGCCAAGGTTCTCTTTGCAGGATATGGCTTGGTGGCTGCAGACTTATCTCCGAGGCTCGACCCTGCTTTGGGTGCAGGAAGCACAGGCTGGGGAGCGTTGTGCACGGCTTGCGCCGCCGCGGATCGCATCAGGGTCGGAGCAGAAGGTTCTGGCGGTATGAGCAGGTTATCTTCCCATTCCGCGGCATCAGCGTAATCCCAATCCTGATCCGTGTCCCACGACTCAACTGCAGCGGGCGCGACTTGCTGCATCAACTTCATGACGGCAGCCTCGTCTGGCTTCACGCTGGCTTTCGTGGCAGCAGGCATACTTGGCACATTTGGTATACTTGTGCCAGGAGCAGACACAGCGTTTCGACGTGAGTTTGGGAAGCGAAATCCGCTGCCCTGCGCAGTGCATCGCGTGGCCTCCACAGCTGCACGCGCTACTTGCGCATTCTCATCTTCGCATGGCTTACCCAACAAGAGCATCTTGGATGCTTTAGGAAGCAAACTGAACGAATTCCACAAAGCAAATTGGCTGCAGTTGGGAGATAAGAGATGGCAAGCTTATCTGGTGGAGCTTGGCAAGTGGAGAATGCTTTAGGCAGCCGAGTACCATACTGCAACAGCTCTTCTGCCACTTGCTCCAACAGCAGGTTGGCCTTGGGACGACGTGGTTGTTTTTTAATGCGGCGCTCTTCACTTTAAAGACACCTTGGCCTGCGACTTCCAAATGCGGCCTGAAGGTGAGGTGCTCCCAAGGCTCCCAATCGCTCTGACAAGACCCACCCTGCAATCCATGCACTGCACCTCGTCTCCACGCCTTTTGTCGGTTCATCGGGCGCCTTCTAGTTGAAGCGAGTGAGACAACTTTCCACCATGGTACATTGAAAGCTTTGAAGTTTCAAGGAAATCTAAAGGCCTTCCAAAGCGGGAATGAGGAGCCGCCTGGCATGGCCTCAGGCCTTGTCTAGAACCAGTTACTACCACTTGAGCAGGTGCCAAGGACGCCAATCCATGACTGTACAACCAAGGCTACGGCAATGTAACCATGAGCATTGTAGGAAGCTGAGCGCCAGAGAGTGCAGCCTCTTCCATCAATGGGAGGCAGGATGCATCCTGAAGACTTCTCGGGCTTTCTCGGAGCACCTCTTCACGGAGACGACTGTTGGCTGGAATGGTACGCCCACTGACCTTCACCTGGCAGAAGCCCTTCCGATGATACCGCTCCATGCCCTGATGATCCTAACGTGTGAGGCTTGCAGCGACTTGAGGGCCTCCCTCTCAACCAGGAGCGGGTCATGTCGAGCAAGGCTGGATCGTACCGACCTTTCACAAGCACGTGCCTAGTTGCTTTGCGTCAGCTCCCAACATTTCGGAGCAATGGCTCAGGCAGGTTAAGCGCCTGGCGCGCAATCGGCTTCACCTGATTCAATGCAACTGAACTATCATCTGATCGAGGCACTTCTATCAAGCTTGTTTGCTAGTAATTGAGACGATCGAGACGCTCTGTCATGCTGAAATGGAATACGGAGGGCGTGAACAACTTTCGACAATCTTCAACATTTTTTGTACAGTTGCAACTCTGGGTCCTTTTAGGGTAGGACGTTTGAGGAGAAGGCTGATTAACGAGGAAGGTGCACAATGAGACAGACACGCAGGGTGATCTAGCCGAGTTCTTCAAGATGGCTCACGCTATCTCTTGGCCTGAAACATTCTCGACTATTCTGTCTGCTCAACGATAAGGATGCGTTTTAAGGCCTTTGGGTGAGGAAGCGACTGGAGATAGACTGGTTTCACTTCTTCGCACTATTGCAAAGGCCTTCTGAAAACTGGACCTTCGCATGTGGACTCACGGCTTCAAGACGACTGAGAGCCAAGCATATCGGCCATTAGTTCAGAAAGGCCGCAGTTTTCAGACGACTTTGGGATCGTTTGACTAGAGTTCTGGGCACTAGCAACCATATACGCAGCCAGGTCTATTGCAATGCCACATCTCCGCTTGAACCGACTTCCGAATGCCAAGTTCTCGCACGGTGTGAGTTCTGTAGAGCAGGATGCCTCATGCTTCAAATATTATATTCGTGCAATCTTGTACAGTACTGTCTTGATGGTCTTCGATTTTCTTGCTCCCTGCTCCTGTAGTGGGTTTATGTACATCTCGGTTTGCCTTCGCAAGACTGCACACTTTGTCGCCCGCAGGATTTGATCTCAGGACGATGCTGAACAGCTGCACGGAGATGATGGCATTTGGAGGCGCCTCTGTCCATGACAGCCGTGCAGCCGGCAACACCTGTGCTGGAGCCATGAACATAAGGAAGGCTAGGCCACGCCAGACATGTCTTCGCTGTTGATGCTTGGACTCTATTTTAGCTTTCACTTCTTGCATGCTTTTAGTGCACCCGCCTCACGAGCCAAAGCAGCATGCTCCGCCAGCATTGCCTCCGAATCAAAACGGTGAAAGATACTCATTCCATATCTAGGCTAGTCGGTGCGCGAGGCTGCTCCCTTTTCTGTTTTACACTCAGGCCGAATGCAGCCATGCATGGCTTTCCTCCAACTGCTTCTTAGATTGCAGAATCCTCTGCTGGCTCCAAAATGTCATCTCCAAATATCGCCACCACAGGAGCCATGTGTCAAGTCTCCTATTCTATTCTATTTCCATAAGCTGCCACGGTCGGTCAGTAAGACTTCTTACTGCTGCCGTATAGTGAAGCTATTGTCTAATTACTTGAAAGTTGGGCAGGTGTAAGCGTCGAACAGCATATCATCTCATCTCATCTCATCTCATTGCCGCTACCATGGCTGCATGTTTGCAGCTTCTTGGGGCCTTGCAAGGTCTTTAGATGCGCCACTGCGCGCATCTGTGCCAATGGCGTGACCACTCCCGCCTCTTGTTCATCAAGATGTGCGCGGAACTGCTTCAACCTTTGCCAGTGGCGCAGGAGACCGCCTGCCTGCTTCCGCGCCTAATGGAAGCATACAAGAGCTGTGCTCTCCACTCTGTACTCAGCCGCTGTTCTTCTCGCCTCAAGGGCTCCCATTCCTGAGACAATGCACTTGGATTCTGGACTGCCATGACAGCAAGCTGTACGTCTAGAAAGTTTCCGTCCTCCCAAACCTCTTCGCGTGTCGGCTGCAGCATGGGATGCGTTTTGTCTGGCATGACATCCTGAGAGGTATGAGGGATGCGAGAAGAAAGCTTTCGCGAAGGCTTTTTTTGCCTGGTCAAAGCTCCGAAGCCGGGATCTGTCGCGGTGTTCAAGCAGCACCTTCGTGCCTCTCAAATGCTCAACACAAGGCTCGGGACCCCAAACTGACCCCGTGCCTGTGTAGATTCTCGGCTCCTGGGCTCTTCGGGGACACTGATGGAAGCCCAGCCAAATATGTTGTGTGGCAGAATGACAGACATGTTGTGAAATTCAGGGTTAGCGGCGTAGTCGCTGCCATATAGTGGAGCGAAAGCTTGAGGCCTCTGGCGATCGTGCCCATGAACAGCCTTGCCCGCCCGGCAGTGCTGAATTGCGGACACTGTGAAAGGCATCCGGCAGCCACTTAGCATCTCACTGATCTCCGCTCTGCCACAGCCTGCTGTCACAGCTGGATATCAACCGGGTCTCTTCATGACCACATCCAGATTGCCTTGCTAAGTGGCCCAGGGTACTTCATGGGCCCGATTTTGCCTGAAATGTTCCCATGCCCACTCCACAGCTAACGCAGCACGAGCAAAGCCGACCAGTTGAGAAAAACAAAAGCTCTGAGAACAGTATTCTTTACTTTCCTGCATCTGACACTCCCTCAGGCCCTGGCCACCCATCTCCCGGCGCGCCTGTGATGCCGCAAAGCGTGACGCTGTGACTCTTGCAAAGGCTCAGAAGGACGGAGCACCGCCTTAAGCATCTCCTGCTTCGAGTCAAAGGCACGTTTGCGAATCTCTTCCAGACCTTCGAAAGCAAGAAGCTAAGGTCCAAGAGGGCTCAAACTCCAGCTTCGGAATTCTGGGGAAAGAACTCGTGCTGCTCTGCCAGCCCCTCAGAGCTGCAGGCACCAGCACCTTCCTGGAATGGCATTCAACAGGCAGTTGCATGACTTCCAAAATTCCCAGCAGCGTATGAAGCCAGAAATCAAGAGCGCAACGAAGCATGCAGGCACACTGCACTCTCTGAAGACCGAGATGAGACTGCAACTCTTAAGCTGCACAAATTGGCCCAGGTTGCCGCATCTTGTGCAGGATGCCGTTGGTGCAAGCGATGTCGCCCCAGAGCTTGCTCGGTTGCCTGTTGACATAGACGAATTGTTACATTGGCCTCTGCATTCTCCATAGTCCATGGCCCAACATTCTCAGCAATACAAGTAGCATGCAGCCCAGGAAAGTTAGTGTAGAAGGGGAGAATAAGGGCGCAGCTCTCCCGAGCTGGCCAACTTTGCGCAGACCCGGCCATCACCGCTCGGCCTTTGCTTGGATGATCCAGGAAATTATAAAAAGATGCACTAAGTAGTCGCAGTTTGTTTTGATCTCGAAATTCTAAGATCCCAACTGGAACGCCACCTTCATGTTCGCACCACGCATGCTCTCCTGCTTGAGGGGGGGCTTTGTGTTCCGAATGTCCCATCGATGCACTTGCACAGCATGGTCACGACCGGGTCCAGAGGAGCCCCAACCATTCGAAGTGCTGCCAGTGGCCAGCGCTCCTCTACCTCAAGCAGGGGTGAATTTGCAGCGTTTGCAGCCTCGGCATCTCTCCTTTTGGGCCGTGGACCGCGTGCCCAGCCAGGAGCTCTGCTGCCTTTGCACTACATTGAGGCGCCACACTTCAACGACTCTATGAACGTGAGTCAGGCCTCTGGCAGCTGGCAGAAGATCTCAGCGGTCATACGCTTGACCTTCGCACTGAACACCAAAGGCATGTAAGGTTTTGCAGGGACACGTCACCCTCAGCTGTGAAAACGAAAACCATCAGAAATGGCATTCGCCCAAGAACTTGGGAAAATCAAGTCTCTGTGTTTCTCAGTTCCAAAGGCCCACCTCGACCAGCCTCTCAATCGCACTGTTCACTGGGGCCAGCAAGGTGACTGGTCTGCCTTGCTGGCCTCTGGCGGACAGAGCTGATTCTAGTTCAAAGCTCTCCTGTGACCCCAAGTGCCAGTGCCTGCTAGGCGTTGGCGAAGTTCGTAGCATCGCGTGCCCGGCCTGGACAGCAAATGCACAGACAAGGCGCCACCACTTGCGAACCTTTGCTTAAACTGTGCACTTTGTCTGTCTGCCAGCAAAGGTTCCTTGACTTCAGAATGATGGCCCTGGCAAGCGAGAGCTCATCATCCTGCCAAATTGACACTGACCGTGGCAAAACGCAAACGTCTTTGCTACCGACAGCAAAATTGTGCAAAATGCCAGACTGCTTCCCTACGTGGCTTCGCCGCGATCACTCAAAGCTCCAAATAGTTGAGGTCCAACATCTCGAAGGATGGATGGATGGAATTGCTCTCACAGCAGGATAGCCTGCTCAAGCTGTTGCAGAAGGCTCCGCTCAGAAGAACGCATCATGGCTGATCATAGCTTGTCACAGTTGGCCATTGGGGCGGTGTTGCAGATGTTGATGCTTAGGACGAAATTCACTTCAAGTTGGAAAGGTCAGCGACCCTGCAACACTTTACAACGACAGTTCAGCTTCCCACTGTTGTTCGGCCGTTGTTCGATGAGTTGCTACAAGTTCAAGACACGAAGGCGTCTCAGACTTGCTCCCTGAAACCATTACTTGGCACTAGGGGGCGGCTCTAAGCAAGTGCGCGCGTGCAAAGCTTGAATTAAAGCTGAAAGAGCCGCACGCACGGATCGAGTGGGCGGATAGTTCCTGCATCACAAGTCCGCACAAGACTCTGGTTAGAGCGCCCGATGACAAGCTCATACAAGCTCGAAGGCTCGAAGTGGAGTTATGAAGGCTTCTGTTTCGCAGCGCCTCTTCTGAGGGTAGATATCAGGCGACGTTTGAATGTTCATGTAACAGCCCCAGTTGATAATCTTGCACATACTCCAATCTGCGCTGTATCAACCGGCCGAGCGTCTTAGATCAACCAAGAACATGCAACGCAACGCACTTCAACACAATGCAAACGGATCTCACTTGCCCGATGTTCTCAGGACATCTCAGGACTGAAGCTGGCAAGCTTGTAGAATTGCAACACATTAATGGCACCAGCTTAGCCTTCAAATGGTCTCACGGTACTGTGGCAAGCGAAGTGCGTCTTTTTCGAGCGTCACGATGCTGCTGGTCGTTTCTTGGCTGCTCTCTGCCGCTTGGTGGTAGAGCTATACCTGTGAATATGCTCACGGGCTGCTTTGCTCGGCAGCGGCGCGGTCCCTGCCTCTGCTCCAATTGGGCGAGGAAGCCGGACGACCTCTCCTGGTGGGGTCTGAAGAGACAGGACTTCAGAAAAGATGCTGCCGCGAGCGACAAGCAGACCATCAAAATGATTCGAAACAGCACCTGAAGTAGCCATCACTGTATTGGTGGCCACCTGTCTGGAGGCCACCAGTACGGGTTGATGTCGAGTGTGCACTAAGTTGTCATACGCGCCCAAATGACAGGGAGCTGATCTGAGACAAGTGCTCTGATGAATGCTGTCTAGATGTTCAGTGGTCTCTTTGGCTACTGCTTCCTGTGGAAAATCTGATTCTTTGCCCCAACATGTTACCTTTTAAGTTGCGAATCTTGCTGCCAGCATGAGCACAGTGGTGTCACCTCCACGCTGCCTGGTTGTTAGCCTGCTCCCCTTGTGCAGCTGCAATTCGCCATGCACCCAGCTGCAACCCATAGCTGAATACCAACCCCACTGCGGTCTCCTGCTGTCTATTGGCAATGGCATTCGCCAAGTCACCTTGCCATTGGGAGATGTAGGGTCGACAATGCCAATATGAAATACATGAATATCACTTTCAAACCTGTGACCTGAGGCCAGGGCTAGATCCGCGCATGGCAGATGCCATCCGCATCGCCTGGACAAGCCACGCAAAGTCGACAAGAGCGACGAAGAGCGCATCCGTCCTCTGAGGCTTCTTTAGCTGCCTTGCGCTGCCTTCCCACAGGCTGTAGAGTTCAACAACGTCCATCTCGAAATGTGCAAATTGTCTGCCCAGCCTCTTCTTGGCCTGAGCAGAGCCTTTCCCCTCAGTCCCATGAAAGAAGCAGCTTCAAGTTTGCGGTAGCCACAACCGGATGAAAGGCAGCCTCTGCATTGCCAATTGCTGAGCCACTTGCAGATCTTGCAAGTCCCGGCAATCGCTCCACCTGCTGCGACGACTTTTATAACAGTGAGCAAGCACATGCCAAGCAACATACGTGACGCTACAAATCTGAGCCTCGCCAGATTCAATTGCAGCAACAACCTGACAAGCTAAGTCGACAGAACTCAGACTGATAAGAGAATACTTACTCATCAAAAACCTGGCTGGCTTTTAGCACTAAAGCACGGACGAGTTCTTCGAATCTCCTTGCATCATCTTCGTTTGCAAGCCTTGGCTGACATCGGACGTCGTCCGCAAACCCAGCGGAGGAAAGCAAATGAGCATTGCGCATTACATTGTCCACAATGTAACCAATGTCCCCGTTCCCCTCAACATAGGCACCTTGCTCTGGGGAGGTGTCACGCAGCGTGACACAGCGGGGCCAGGCTTTGCGGCTTTGCTTCAGGGGCGAAGGCGCAGAACGTCTCGCCTCTCCTCGCTGGAGCCGACCTAACCATGGCAGGACTGTCTGGACCTGTCTGAACTCTTTACCCACTGTGGAGAAACCAGCATGAACCTATTGCGGAGGAGGTGCATACTGCTTCTCAAACTGATCGAGGCGCTCCTTCGTTACCTCAGCCATTACTGCTAAGCGTCGCTGGCTGCAGCCTCCTGCGCAGGCTCGAAGCTGTGCGCCAGACTGGCTTGAAGAGCTTCTTAAAATAGGAGCTCCTGACATGCAAAGACGCCTTGACGCACCCCGCACTCCCGGCCCCAACGTCAAGTCCACATCATAAGCCCAGGCTGAGATGCACGCCAATCCGTCTCTGACCTGACTGGTTCAGAAATGATTGAGCAGGATGGGGTGCTTCTTCGTAGCTGAATTCCCGACGCGAGCTCGTCTGGGCAGCAGCCAGTTGCATCCTTACGCAGTACTTCTCAGTTCTTGCTTTGTAAATTTCAGTTCGCGCTGCAGCTGCTGACACAAGATACGCTTTTCCCGGATCCAGATCATTGCATGATTACGCCAAGCAGCAATGCAGAAATCAGGGCATGCTCAGGCAGAGACATATTCAGCTCGCAGCTCAGGATCACTGAGGATTCGATGCCTTTGCAACAAGTTGCTTGCAGACGCGCATGCCCAAAATCCGTGAGTCTCTGACACCTCACCAAGGGCCTGAAACTTCAGCGTTGCGTCTCTGGCACCTCAAGCAGCCGGAGCGTCCAGCAACACAGCTGAGTAAGCTTGCAAGAGGGGCGTGGCCATGATTCTTGTCCGGGTGCCACTTCAGAGCAGCACTGTAGTACCTGACCGCGTACCGTGCTCCACCACACTGTCGTGGCTGTTATTACTGGCAGCTACAACTCTTTGATGTCGCAGCTTCAACCTACGGGGGTTCAGGAATTTTATCTTTCGCCCATCCACAAGTTTGCACGTTTTGTACTTTCCAACCCTGGGCCGGATCGCATGCGACTTTAGATTTAAGGGCTTTGTCTTAAGTTTGGGTTTTGGGGTTACGGGCTTAGTTAGGGGTAGGGTTTGCGGGCTAGGTGCTTGAGGGTTTAGGGCTATTCGCGCTTAGGGTTTCTTGACCACACCCTTTTCCAACTGCACGACGTTGGGGCTTCGGCTGTTTAGGGTTCGGTTTCAGAGTCTCTGGGTTTTGGGAAGGAGTCGGGCGCTGGAGCTAGTTTGGGGGTACGAGGCTTTCCAGGCATGCAGGCAATTGTAGGGTTGGGTGGGCCAAGAACTTTCAAGGTTTGAGATGAAGGCTTAATTGAGGTTCCAGCCTCCAACACCTGCGAGTCTTCCAAATAAACTTCTCGCCCTCAAAAACCAAGTTGCGTCTGCACCCGCAGCCCGCTTGGGGCCTCTAAAGCAAGTATGGCATCCTTATTTGGGATGCTGCTGCCTTTAAAGAGAATCGTAGAGCATTGATCTGACCTTCCGACTTACCCTTGGCTGGTAGGCCCCTACTCAACTTGCGTGGCGCAAAAACCACCCTTCGCAGGGTCGCAAAAATTGGGTCTTAGGGACTTTGGGCTCAGAGTTAGTTTTGGGGATGCTAGGGGGAATTAGGTTCAGGGTCCAGTTTCGCAAGTCTTTCCGGTCAGAATCGTAATCATACCCTGAAAGTCGAAAGCGAAAGCACCATGAGAATACAATCGATAATGCAAACTTGGCAGCTTAGCCGCGCACCCTTTTCGTATCTGCGCAGGACTCGCATCCTTGGTGACGTTGAGCCTTGGCCAGCACGTTTGGATTGAGGGTGCGCAGAATCAGTCGATTCTCAAGAGACTTGCTGAAGAGACATCTGCTAATACTCTGACTGGCCAAAATGAGGCTGGCACAGCTCGTACAGGTTTGCTCTCTCCTCTGTTCTATGCACACTTGTATGCCCAGTTGCCAGTAGCTCAACATTCTGCAAGGGGCTGTCCTTTCCAAAGGCATCACGTATCAAGGATGCCTCAGCGAAGGCAGATGTGATATCATGCCCGGTTGCCTTCACGTCACCAGACTTCCCTCTGAGACCGCCACCATTGCTTCTGCTGCGCTGGCTAATCAGCTGCACAGCACATTATTTGTTCAGGCTAAGCTTAGCACCACATGGGAGACTGCTGTTTTTGGCCGAATCACAAATTGTTTCGCAAGCAATTGTGCGCTGTGGCACGTCGCCATGTCAACACTAGCAATCATGTTCAACACACACCGCTAGGAACCAGAAGCTGGAAACCCTTAGTGCAGTGCCGGCATGATTGCAAGCATAGGCTATCGCGCAGGCCATCGCGATGCAAAAGTTTTGCCAGCGCGGGATCTGCTCTCACGGCTGCCGTAGCGTGATTCGCCGACCGGACATTTCAGCCTCGGCTCCCCATAGCAAAGGAACATCGACACTTTTACAGAGCAAACACAGTCTGCTGCACCAAGCTTTGTAGGGAATATTTTCTGGGACCACTTTGGCAGGGCCCGCCTGTGCAGAATGGCGACGGCCCTGCGCGATGGTCGTAGCCCTTCAAAGCACACAGGCTTCAGCAGCATAGCCATCTCAAGCGTACTGATTCAGGCTATAACTAGGCGCCTTCTCAACGAGCGAGCCGCCATCGGATAGCTTCTTGTGATGGGTGAAGACGCACTTGTTACCTAACAAATTGCGCATCCGAGCAACGCCGCGCAGCGGATCAAACAAAGCTGGTCATAAGGGCAGCTCCATCGTCACAGCAATTGACCTGGCAAGCCTCCAGATAGCCTGCATAGGTGCTGCTGCCAATAGTCCAGTGAGGCAGCAGAAATGCTCGGACTCCATTATCATGTCACAGAAATGTCAACGGCCTTGGCAAGCGCTTGCCTCAGCTGAGCTAACAGATGTGTGTCGCGGATCCAGGGGGACATGCTACATGCGCTCATTCCGGCTGGGATCCCGGACACATGGGCGAAGGTACTTTGCCTGCCAGTACCACTCAGACCCTTCGGCAGTTCTGGACTCTACTAGAACAAAATCTGGCCTTGTCCTTATCACTGCAGCGAGGAAAATGAGTGTAACATGCCATCTTCCAAATTGCCTGCCAGGCATGTCTTCCAATGAAAGGTGCACTTGCTGCTCATCCATTTGCCTGAACGCATGCATCCTCCTTCCAGGGCTCCTGGTATTCCCAGAAATCCTTGCCTGCAAATACCAGTGAAAGTCCGTCAAGTCTATTCAGCATTTTGCTTGGCAAAGACTGCAGAGCTCAGTGTTGAACCAATGCCACGCAAGTGAGCCACGTAGCTGTTTACAGCCTTGCAAGTTGGCGCATGCCCACTACCGGCACGCGAGCTTTACAACCAGGCAGTATGCTGCCTAAGTCGCTTCCAAAGCGACTGAGCCAGGAGCTCGCTGCATCTGCATACGGATGACGTGCTCATGGCCCCCTTCACCCTGTTGCGTGCTGTGCTCCCAAGGCAAAGAATTGACATTCTAACACAATCAAGCCTCGGCAGGAATCGCAAACGAGTAGGATGAGATCGCTTTCTCGCAAAAGCTAGCCTGCAGCATGCAGGGTGCAGATGCAAATGGCAGAGGGGGCTCTGACTTGGGGTCTGGCAGGTGCTCTATCATTAAATTAGCAACGTCTCATGCGAGTTCCCGTTTGTCTTATTTTGCCTGTTGTTCTGGAACGGAAGCCCTGAATGCCTCCTGCGCATAACGGAGCTCCCAGCTACTTCCAGTCAAGGCGTATGCGGGGAGCGGCGTGCGCAGTGCTTCAAAACATGCAAATCAATGACAACCTTTGCAACTGTTTGTCAACAAATGAAAGCCACCAGTGGCACAATGCCGCCGCGACAATGCCGCCACAACAGCTACCTCTAAATGCCTTCACCATCGCAACGCCTGCTCCAAAGTCAACTTCATGCTCTGCGTCATTCTTGGATCATCTTGGATCAAAGTGTCACGCCCAAGCGGACCACATCAACTGTTGCACTGAAGCTCGAAGGCTCCAAAGCTCTCAACATAAACATGCTAACTTCCGGCATGAAGACTGGCAAGGCCGCTGCCTGCTGGCTCAGGTTGCCCCGCATCAACATCTTGGAGCCGTCCTGGAAAGTATTCCCTGGCTTTCTTGTGACAGCATGCAAGTGCCAATGCTCCTGAGATTGACCTTCCAAGCCTTGGACGCCAAAGCAAAGATCAGAAATGGCTGCCGCAGGACTTGCACTCGCAGCGATTGCTAGGCAAGCCACAGCTCCAGGATTTGGCGTCATAGTCTTCAAGGACCTTAAGCAGGGCAGTCTTCACGCGGGTTCACGACATAGACCTGCATGTTTGATGAAAGCCCATTTCAGTGGAACAGAGCTACTTCACATAATGCATAGTTTGATGTACACAGGTTTCTGACAATCCAAGCTATTTGGCCCGTGGCATTGCGGCCGAACTCCTCCAAAGCTGGCCTAAGCAGTTTCATCTGGTTGGCACCAGAACATCGATGCAGGCAGGCAAGCAAGCAAGCAAGCCAGGCCAGCGAGCAAGGAAGCTGCGTAAGCGAATCAACATCACAAACTACCCAAACATACCCAAACCACTCTGGATCTTTCTCGTCAACGCCGCAGGCTAGTTGCCAACATCGCCCCCAATATCCACCTCCCAACATCCCCAGAGAACAGGGCTGCTATTGCAAGCAGGCAACCAACCTTCTCGACCTGCACCTTCTCTTCAACACTGATTTTGCAAGCTTAGGTCTGAAGTACAGTAGCTGAGATAAGCTGGCATTGCGAAGGCTAAACGAGCTAAAACTACCAGCAGCTTTTTCTCTACCAGCCGAGGCCTCAGGCCTTAGGAGTTGAATGACAAATCTCTATCCGCCCACGTGAGCTTGAAACAAACAGATTGCCCCCTGCTCCCCTCCCCACTACCCCTCCCCCTCCCAAACCACCCCTACCTGCGCCTCCCAATGCAAATCATGCAAATTCGCGGCGGTTGCCCACAAAGACTGCTTTTGCGCTGGGTTACCTGTGCTGTAAAGTTAGAAGACCGCATTCCAAACCCCCAACCCCTTTATCTCACCTTTCTCTGCATCCATCTCTACAACACGACCTGCCTTTCTGCCTTCCCGCAATTCCGCCCTACCCCTTCTTTCCCAAAATCCCCTTTCTCTGCTCCTTTACCCCACATCCGTCTTTTCTCTGGAGGTCTCTCTGCCACGCGCAACTATTTCTTTCTTTCGTTCAGGCATTGTATTATCCTCCCGGGATCTCCCCCCCGACCTGCGGACTATGAGCCCAGGAGAAAACACCTTAAGGACCTGGACCTTCCTTGGTTACACTATTGACTTGACAATCAGGCCCGACACCTGATTCGCAAAAAGGCAGCGACAGCGCTGCTTATTTGTTCTTTTAGTTGTAGCACCTAGTTCTTGCTTCTCATGGTCAATCCCTCATTGTCACCAGTAGCTGTCTGAAAGTTTTGGAGGGGTTCACGCTTCTGCCATGAAGTTTTTCCTACATGGTGCCTAATCGTAGAGGGCCAGCCTTACAATTCTTACAAGTCGTGTTTGTCCACACTTGAATGCCAGGCTACGCAGCCGATCGTTTGGGTGATCTTATTCTGGGGCAGTTGGGCTGGAATTTCCAGGAGGGTTGCCTCAAAGTAGTTGCTTTAGGGCCCCAGGTTGTGGCTATGGTAAGTTGCTAGCGGGCTATGACACAATTGAAGTTATGGATTATGGCGGCTTGTCCAACTTGGCTCCAGTGAGAATTGCCGAGTACATTGTTAGAGGACGGCCTTGCAAGGGAGGCTTGGTAATTGCGTACCGGCAGGCGCAGCAGCGGCATGCAGCACAGAGGAAGCATACACCAGCAGCAACAACAGCAAAAACACACACTCATTTGAAAGAACCACACGGTTCTGCAAGGCTGCAAGGCTGCAGCTTTCACAGACGACTCAGCTGCAAGCTATCGCCAACAAAGGTACTGCTGCATCGCGTGCGTGTTGGTCGCATGCACTTAGATCAGGAGCGGGTACGAGTACAATCCTCCCCCCCCCGCCCACCCTCCTTTCTCTGGCCGAAACCGCGCGCACTAGCGCGAATGATACACCACCAACCTAGAACTCTCTGTTGCAGAGAGGCCCGCGAAACAAAGTACTCTGTGGCGTGCCAGTCGTCTTATTTCCAAACACATCTCTGTTGAGAGCTGCCTGGACACTGAGTGGCGTGCACGAGCGGGTTCACACAGTTGTTGCGGATGCAAACTGGATCTTTCCTTGCCAATACTCTCAACGCTGATTGCCTTCTAAACTGCAAGACCCTGCAACAGCAGCCGAGGCTGTGTCGTGTAGCCTGTGGGCTTGTAACTTTGGTGGGAGGATGTTTTGGCGGCCTAGCAAAGCCACAAGTCTCCAAGCAATCCATGCATGCACATGCATGCTACAAGAGTCAGCTCGTTCATAAATGAAGCCAGGTACATTGGATGGAACCGCAGCGTAGAATGCGAGCAATATACCTCGTTGGCTGCAGCAACTTGGAGTCTCTTCAGTCTTCTGCATGAAATGTAAAAACGAGGTCTAGGTGCCCGCACAGATGCTCGGCTTCATCTTGCTCAGCGTGGGACGCTGCACTGCATTCCTGTCATGCACAGCAGCCATCGTTTAGAATTACCTGGTTTTGCATGTGGTGCATATGCTCTGTGTCGCGGAGTGCTGCAATTCGAGACCATACTCCGTCCCGGTCCGTTCTTTGCGGAGCTAAAAAGTTCCCACAACAGGACGTTGAGTGGGGTGATCTTACTTTGTCTCCTGCGCTGACTGTTTGCTTCGGGCTCTAACTCTCCCGAAAACACAAACAGACCACTTTACTTGAAAGGCAATGAGTTTTCAAGAAGCTTTTGGTGTGGTGGTGCGGCCCAAGGAATGATCGCCTGTAAGAATGCCTCAGAAGCTGTCAAGGATGCAACTCTGTCGCTTGCGGAAACAAGATGTGCCCTGGGAAGGCAACATTTACCTCAGCAGCTGACTGCCCGAAACGAGATTGTCGTGTGACGCCCTGCCTGCACTCTAGAAGGCTGCATGTTTTCTTTGGGGGGCCCGGCCAGATCTCTGTGATTTGCAGCGACAAACAGCTGATGCATGGATGCATTAGATTGATGATGGCAGTGTTTTCGGTTGGGATGACAGCCAATGAGATGCTTCATTGAGGGAGCAAGCTAACCCCCGCAGTTCTTTGCCATCGGGCCAGATCAAGCTCTCGTCTTCGAATGTACAACGCGTGAGCAGAGCAGTGTTGAGTGTTGAGAGTTTGGCATGTCTCTGCTGAACCATGCTGCAACAGGCTCTGACATGGAGGAACCCTGAGAGACAGCTTGCGAACACGGCATTGACCGGCAATGTTAACGCGGCCGGGAACACGCTTGAAAAAGCGCGGGGGGCCAAGCGAGCCCTTCTCCCTGACCTCAGGTCACCTAGGAGCCTGGCAATCGGCGGGCAGCGTCAGAACATCCAGGGGCTTCTAGCAATTTAGCCACCTGTGTTAAGCAGCCAGAACAAGGGGTAAGAACAAACGCAACGGATGCGAACAAGAGATCTGTTCCTTTTGCGTGGCCATGGCCACCAACCAGGACATTGCCTGATGAATTGATGGTACTGCCCAGAGTTGGAGCACGGTCACGAGCCGCCAAAGACCCGCCGCACAGTACATTTGCTCTATGTACAGAACTTCGGAAAGACTTGCTCGGCTTTCCTGGGTGGTGCCCAGATACTGAACAGTGCCCGGCAGGTTTGTGCCAGACGCACCATCAGTCCTTCTACACATACAGCAGCGCAAGAAAGCGCGATGAACAGTGGTTCACGGCCCTTGCCAGCGCGTGAACTGAGCTAGTCTGCCTGAAAGCAAGGCTTGCGTCAGCTTTGCAATGATTTTGTTGTTTGAATGCTGACGCCCATCTGTGCCAATGCGCCTTCACGAACCGCAGGTAGATTTTGCCTGCAGGGACCTTAAGCACAGGCGAACAAGAGCTTGTTGAGACCTTGTGAGCCTTGCGCTGGGTGACCTAAGGGCCAGACTAAATCCATGCATTGGAAGTTGGAGGGCGCCCAGACCTTGAAGCGAGACTGCAAGCCATCGCGCAAGCAAGGCTGCCAGAAACTTCCACAACCTGCCTGCGTGAGAAGCCCCGTAGTCTTATAGACCGCACCGCTGGCCCCCTCTTTGCCAGCCTACTGTTTCGAACCCTTGTCGCATCTGCCTGCTTGACCTTATCACCTACAGAGAGCAGAGCCAACCTAGCATGGCTGGTGCAGATTCCTGACAGATGAAGAGACTTGAGGACGCGGCCGCAGGATCAGCCTTGCTGCCCCAGCCAATGGTCCTCACAGGCTGCAATGGCACGGGGCAAGCAGCGACTTTGCTCTCCAACCCTCCGCCTGCTTGCGGCACCTTCCATGCGCTCCTCCAGCCGCCTCACCTGGCAAGGGGATCCACAAAACTTTGGAATCCTTCCGCATCCTTCATGAAATCAAGTCGTCCCTCCGAACCTGCTCCGCACCCAATTGTAGCTGAACGATGTCAGCTGCCCCCACCACTTCCTAGCAAAAAGCGCACCCGAAGACAACAAGTCTCCTCTGATCTCTGCATCCTCCAGGCCTGGCTCTTGATGCTGATGGTCAGTCTGTGTTCCGTGTCGTAGGGATCAAAGTTTAATTGCAGAGTCTCCTCTTCCAGTTGAAGAAACTCAGCATTCGGCGTGCTTGTTGCACGCGGCATGCTGAGAAAAGCAACGCTGGCTCATTTAGCTCCTTGAAAACGCAGGAGTGCCCAGCACGGTGATGAACCTGCAGATTCAGGAAGCTGTGCAGCCGGTCTCCAGCAGCCAAAGCAACAAAGCCTTCGGGCTCTCATGCAAAGCTCAGGACCAGGCACGGGTTTTCATGGCGACATTGTAGCCCAATGAAACCTAATGCGTAAGGATTCCAGATGGCACAAGTGCATCATGAACCTTAGGTAGCGACTTCACAAAACACATCGTTCAGGGAATGAAGTCGAGCAGACGGAAGCCCTTCGACCTCGGGCGGTCATCGCAGAAGAGATCGAAAAGCACTCTGAAAATCCCCTGGCCAGCAGAAATCGGAAGCTTTGCCACATGCCACCTGGCCTTCCAGATGAAAAGCTCCACAGGGTGGAAGCGCTTCATGGACCTCAGACATCAGGCATCAAGACTGGCAAGTACTGAGCTTCCTGGCACTTCCTCAGCAGCAGGCCAGCAGGTGGCCCAGTCGCGGAAATCACCAAAGAGTGAAGCAGCATTCTCCACACCCAGAACCTCCATTACTCTGCATCCCCGCAGAAAAACTGCAGAAGACATGTTCAAGAACTCTCAAAATTCACAGCGATGCGTGCTGCACACTGCAGATGCAGATCAAAGCAACCTCAAAAACACGATCCTTGAACCTGAGTTCAGACGCGGCTTGACTTGAGATTTGAGAAGGGGAATGGGCTTCGCATGGGCTTCAAGGAGCAGGCTTCCAAACCACGCAGATGGCAACGAGCGCCGCCACCCCCAACAGGAGCTGAAAACGTGTGGCGAGCATCTCACGGTTGAAAAGAGATTTGCTGGCTTCTCCTGCTCCGTCTTCTCAACAGCTTCCTCGAAGCCGGTGACAAGGGCAAAGAAGAGGTCATTGAATGTAATTGACTTCAACCTGGCATCCAACCGTCCAGACATGCGCGTCGGCTTCTGGCATCTTGTGGCTAGCGCTTTGTGCCGCCAGGAAGTTATTTTCGTGCAACATATGTCAAACAGGGATGGCGCACGAGTGCAGCGTAAGTCCTAAGAGGATGAAGTTCACAACTGTGATGACAGGATACACCTACAGACCACACAAGTGCAAGGTATTCAGTATTCACGTGAGTCTGCGCCCACCTTGTGTAGTCTTGTTTCGCAGCAGTAGCGAAAAGGCCTGCCCAGGCCGATTCGGAGTTACAGAAAGCGCAGCAGTACCAGATGTGAAGCTTTGACACAAGTGCAAAAGGAGCCTCAAGAAAGGCACAGCCCACAGCATGATCATCAGAATCACCACGAGGCCGAGCACAACTTTCTGCGCGTGCTACGCACAACAATGGATCTTAGTCTTGGAATGTCATCATTTGTTTCACCAGCACTACAACCACCCCCTGCCTCCGAGAGTGACTCATGGAAGTGGTGGCCAGCTTGCGAAGGCTGAGAGGCTGGAGTCTTCTGATGTTCAGGGAGCATCTTAGCAATTCCGGGTGGCACTTGCGAAAAGCACAAATTACACAAGTTTCCGGGACCGTGGCCGCTCGCAGACGCTTGACTTCAGCCTGCAGTTGAGCAATGCGGGCCTGGCACAGATTGGCTAGTGTAGGATTCCTTATTAAACAAGGGTCGGTAACAACAAATTTCCTGGGCCAGAGAAAATCCCAGATTTGGGATGCGTAATTGGTTCGGATTTTCATTGCGAAGCTATGGTCTTCTTGACATAGCCTATCCGTGTACTGGGACGTCATGGGCTGATTATTACAAAAGAGTATGTTTCTTTTACAATTCCCCGGCCCAACAATCGGTAAAAAATGGCTCGCAAGTGTAACAAGATCAAAAACCTCTCCTGCTCCTCCTTCCCTTACTCCTACTCATACTCTTCCTCCTCCTATTACTACAAGTGGTACTACTACTACTACTACTACTACTACTACTAGTACTACCATACCTGCGACGCCTGGAGTGTTTGGATGCCACCCCGCACTTCCTCGACCTTTTGTTTCGAGATTGGTCCGCAGGGAACTTGCGGGAGGGGGGGTCGTTGTAAGTAACCTGACATCTTGTGGAGTTGCCATGCCGCACGCACTTCCAGAGCCGCGTGCGTCACCCAGTCTTGCCAGGCTGGCTGCAGGTCAGCGCCATATGGAAGGAGCACCCCCGAATGGCCTACTGTTGCACAGGTGCCAATGATTTCCACCGAAGACTGAAGACACATTGTGAAGACATGAGACACGCCGGGAGGCCCCCGACCCTCTGATGCCACGTGCTGACGCCACATCTGGTGACGCCACTTCGGTCCCCGGCGCCTGACGCCATGTTGTGACGCCACGTCCGGCGACGCCACCTGGTGTCGTGACGCCTCACTGACGCCCGTCGGGTGAGGACACATGGCTTGACAAATGAGCAAGCAGCTCCATTCCCTGGCCAGATGCCACGTATCTTCATGACGCCGCGTTCTGACGCCACATCCGGTGACACCACATGTCTTCGTGACGCTGCGTTCTGACACCACATTCGGTGACGCCACGTGTCTTCGTGACGCCGCGTGTGTTCGTGACGCCGTTCTGACGGCACATTGGGTGACGCCACCTGCCTTCGCGACGCCATGTCAGTTTCTGGCGGACAAATGACATCCAAAGACAACCTACCTCGGGCGCGGCGATGCAGGTGTGCCCTGGAGGCTCGCACGCGCGCGCTAACCCCAAACCCTGAACGCCGAAATCGCCGAAACCCCAGTCGGTGTGACAACGACTTGAAAAGCACGTCAGGAGAATGTAACTTTCTCCAAGCAGAAACTTTGACCCCTTTTCAACCTGATGCCCGGGTTCAGGGATGGTTAAGGGAGGGGGGCTATCGCGAGGAATTTGGGTTTGGGGTTCGGATTTTGGGAATTTAGATTTTTGGTGTGGTTTTGAATTTGTCTTCGCGCACCCATGTGTCTTCGCGACGACACATGTCTTGCCCTGGCCTGTCTTCGGGAAATGTCTACGCGCGCCCATGTACCTTCGCAACATTTCGTAACGACACGTGTCTTTGCCCGACCTGTCTTCGTGAAGTGTCTTCGCGCAGCCATGTGTCTTCGCGACGACACGTGTCTGCGCCCGACCGGTCCTCGGGACGTGTCTTCGCACGCCTGTGTGTCTTCGTGACAACACGTGCCTTCGTCCAACCTGTCTTCGGCAGATATCTTTTGACACAGACGTGGCTCCACTCTCTGAAGGGTCTTGGCCAGCGCAGTGTTCTCAGAAAGTTTCTTCGGACGCCCATGTGTCTTCGCTCCGAGACGTGTCTCCGCTGAGAAAGTGTCTTCAGACCCGCACGTACTGTATCTTCGCTCTGCGACGCGCGCCTTCACCTAGCATGTGTCTGCTGACGCCCAGGTGTCTGCGCAGACCATTCTTGAGAGCCTCAGTCCTGAACCCCATGCATCTTCAAAATGTGTCTTCGGTGGAAGTCCGCCCCTCCCCTCCCGGACCGGAGGAAGCAGGCACTGCCGGGTAGCGATGCGGATCATGCTACACCCTTAGATGCTCTACGCGCTAAAGCAAAGTGGCCGGTGTACCACCATGCTAACAAAGAACATGAAGGTGCGGCATCTGCCCACTCGTCTCCAGGCACTGGGCCATCGTCCTTCAATGATGAATGGGCATGCTTTCTGTCACCGGCTACGCAAGTTTGATCAATTTCAATCAGATGCCTCTTCCATCAGCCTTAAGCCCAGGTTGACGAAAAGCAAGGACAGATTGGAATGTAGAAGCTGCGCTTGTGCTGGTCGAAAGACATTTTTCGTGTAGCATAGTTGCTGGACAAAATGCGTTAAGTGCATAATCTGAAGTTGGGCTGGCTTAGTGCGATGAATGAGGGTATTTGAACCCTTCCGAATTTCCATCCTTTCATTCATGGCATGCCGGTGCTGGTCCTCGCTGTGTTTTGAGCTTTTGCACGGCGGAGCCAGAGCATCTCTGTCATCGTGCACGAAGCTCATGAACACACTGCAAGCCCATGACTGTCTGTCACATGTCCTCCTCCGGGACATACTTAAAGACATTCTGGCTTGCTGCGCTACGCTGCGCTACCCCTGCATCCTGCTGCATCCGGCAGCATCCTGCAGCCCAAGGGTCGCTGTCTCGCCCGCTTCAGAAATTGCCCTAAATTGCCCTACTCTATGTATGTGGCTTCTCTCGATTTCGCTCTCTTTTCCGCCTCCGCTTTGGTGAAGCCTTGTTGGCAGAAAAGATTTCTGGATTAGCGCCCGATTGTTTCGGGCGTGCCTTGCCACCTTCGAAACTTCATGTGCTGTGCACATGCGTCGTGACAGGCCCTACGAAGAAAGCTTTTTTTTCAGAACTCGAGAATAAGCGTTCATCACCTACGCCTTGTGCGCGACAATAAGCTTGGTCATGCCTGCAGGGGTTATAGAGAGGCATGAAGATGCAGCTCATCGCGAAAACAAACAATTTGGAGGTGACCTTGGATCATCTCATGGGTCTCGCATGTGCTCTCCTGAAAGCCAGCTTGGGCCATACGTTGAATGACCTGGGAAGGCTGTCCATGCCAGTAACATCTCAACATGTTTTGATCCGGGCCTCTGCAGGGCAGAGTCCAAGTCCCTGTGCATTTACGGTCACGTGCTGAAGACCTGCGCTGGGAACAGCCCACAACAGCCCGCAACTTCAACTCCCATTTGTAAAATCTCTGCGGCGCTTACCCCAGAGGGCTCCCAGAGCTGGACCATCAAGGCTGTCGTTGACCTGAAGTCTGTTCTGCCAGAAATCTGAAAACTTCCAGCTGAAAATGTGCTAAGCGCAAAGATCTTGTTGAGAGCATCAAGCCAAGATGCCATGAAGTCATGGACCAGAAGGCGCCCCCCAGACCGCAAAGCCTGATCACACCATGTCGCAAACGCCAGCTAAGCATGCACAAGTCCCCGCGGGCAGCATTTTGAGCATAAGTTGTGCATGCAGGCAATAGTCTGGGCTGTGTTACGTAACATTTTCACCTGCCGCTGCGCTTTAGAAGGCGGAAAACTTGCTGACACAAGCACAAGTAAACCTGGTCTGGACTGGCCGCTAGCCGCTGGCCTTCGCGGCGCAAGAGCTGAAACAATAATGGGGCCAGGACAAGAGTTCAAAATCTAGCGACACACTTCGTGCAAGTATGAAACATAGCATGCGTCACATCACCCTTTGCAACAGATAAGGCTTGTTCTGACCGAGCGCATTTAAACAGTTCGCCGCACTCATCCTGCTGGCCGCTTCCTGCACCCAACCTGTCCAGTGGTATCAAGCGGGGCCGCATCACAAAATCGGGCCCATCGCTCTTGCATGCCTCGATTTTGAGGTCAGCTTCTACTCGTCCTGAGCATGGGCCAAAGAAGCTCGGCAAGGCGTAGGGTGTGTTTTCTTCGACCAGAATCCTCGTCTTTGATTCTCTGAAAGATGTAGAGGGACAGCCCCGTCAGGCTTGTCCGCATGACCTTGATGCAGCTGGTGGCTCGTGTCAAATGATTAACACAGATTGTGCCGAGAAATGGCTCGGTAATCGTCGTCCATGTAGGCGAGGAAGCCGTAGCTGAAAGTCCTGCGCAGGCACATAAGGATTTGAGAGCACACGCTTGAATTTGATAAGCATGCCTGCACATAGGACTCATCATGGTCTTGGCTCCGGCGTACTCGACGCTATCCTCGGGAGTGTCCTGGCGTGTCCGAGTCATGCCTTCACGCTCCTAACTTTGGTGCGAACCACATGCCAGTCAAGCATATTCCACATTTGTGATTTCGAGCTTGAGAACAAGGTCCTGAGGCCAAGGTACAGGTTGCGCGCACATCTCACCGGTGCACGCATTACTTATAACATAGTACCTGGCATTGCGGCCTCCTGTCCCGTAACCACGTTCTGCTGAAGGCCCAGCTTCCAGGAGCCCTGAACAAATGAATGTATACGCAGGTATGTCGCCGATGCATGTGGTCTTGCATGTGCCTGTCCCCTGGCGCAAAGCTCCAGCTGCTCAGTGCCATCTTCGTTGGGGGCCTTGCCGCAATCGCATGCAGGAATCACGCAGGCGTTGGTCGCAATTGACACGAAGCAAATCAGCAGGGAGCATTGAGCACGCTTGCGGAAAGTCGGCTTTCAACATGATAGCGCCTTAAACACCTCTTCCATGTCGTACTCATTGAAGCTGTCGTATTGAATATCATCGCCTCATGGAAGCGTGCTTTGTGAGGCGAACGCGCATCACCTCCCTAGTCCAAGTATTTGAGACGCGGTTGGAGCGTGACTTCAGTGAGGCTTGGCGACGTTAGCTTGGCACCAATGCTGCTGAGGATCCAGGGCTGAACTTCTGAACAAGCGCCTCTGTAAGGCCAAACTACTGAAATTCACAGTTGTTTGAAGGAGCACACCAGCACGTGGTGCATCAGAAGGGCATGCGGATGCTGGCCTCAAACTCGGCATTCTTGATGTTCCTCTCCGCGTTTAGCACTGATCCCCATCTTCGAAACCTTTGCTGCCAGTATCTTGAACTCCGCACAAGTTGTGGTCCCACTCGATGGTCCAAATGCTGCCACAGCCGCTTCACCGAAGTTGAGTAGATCAGCTCCCATGTCCCTTCAAACTTGCTTCCATCGTAGTCGTTCAGGTCACCAACCTGGCGTGCAAGTATCTCACATGTCATCCATCCTCATTGGCCGGAGGCCTGAGGCGTTTGGATCCAGGTTCGGGGAGATTAAGTCAACCCTTGTCCCATGGGGGGCCTGGGGCCGGGGAGTGGGCCTGGAAGGGGGATCGGGGGCCGGAAGCATGCTTGTTGGCTGGTTTGAGCGTGAAGGAAATGAAACTGGTTGGTTCAGTGTGTGTTATTGCAGTATCAGCTTGCAGAACATGACTGGCGGTAAGTTTCACATCCTCCGGGATCCTGCGGCACGAAATGCATAAGATGAGACAAGTAAGTGAATCTTCTCGGGGTTTGGAAGGGATGGAGTTTTTGCTGTTCCTTTTTGTTTTGTCTAACCTTTGTTTTGTTCTGCCTTGTTTACCTTTTGGGAGGACGCTTCACACAAGAGCTGAATGCCGAGGCAAAATGTGAGGACGCTCCACGTCCGAGCTTGCTTTTCAGCAAAAGTGCGAGGACGCTGCCTCCATTTCAGCAAAATGTGAGGACTCATCACGCCAGCGGTAGCTTTTTTGCAAAAGAGTGAGGACACTCCACCATTTGGAGGCGAAATGTGAGGACACTCCACGTGAGAGTTCGACTTCCCCAGGTGAGTAGTATCAGAAATAATTATAGCGAGAGATATATGCATACGAGCAATAAGAATATTCATGAGACAACTGATAGTAGTAAGACGCTCCACGCGAGAGCTCGATTTCCCCAGCTTAGTACTAATAGGAATCATAGCACGAAGACAACTGTTGTTAATAACATTTACTAACATGTAAGTACTAGTAATAAAACTAACAATAAGAACACTAAAACCATAACACCAATGATAGTATGTTGATAAAAGAAAAAAGGGATTGATAATAATGATAATATCAACGATGGCAATACCAGCGATGATAGGAATACAAATGCCAGTATTTTAGCACTAGTAGTAATATTAGTATTACTGGAGACAATAGGAGCAATAGTAATTATTTCACTGCTAATATCTTTAAGTTTAGCAACAATAAGGTTAAGAGTACTAATAATGCATGAAACACAAATAACAAATGGCAATAGTCATCATACAATAATAGTAATGATAATAGTAAAAGTAGTAATTGTACGTAGTAGTAATAGAAAAAGATTAATGATGACAAAAGCAGTAAAAGTATTCATTGTGATAACAATTAATATACTCTGATAATCATAGTAACAACAACGATAGGCATAACCAGGAAAGTTAAAAATGGGCAATGATAATCGCCATAACCGTATTGACGTTGTTCATAGCAGTAAAATAATGAGAATATGATACATTTAAAATGACAGTTAGAATAGTAGTAGCAGTGGTACAATTGAGAAAAACCAAGAATACAAATAGATGCGAGAAGTAAACATACAGCTCTAATCGTGGTAATAACGGTCTTGCAGCAATTTTTGCAGGGCTGCACGATTTAAAAAGACGAGAGGAATGGGGGGAGAGGCCTCCCCGATGCTCGTAAGCCAGGATCCTTTTAAATATGGGTCTTGCAGCTATTCCTGCGTTGCACATCTAAAAAGGGGGGCGTTGGGGGGTGGAGCCCCCGATCCGCAAACCCAAGGCCAGGGCCAAAAAAAAGAGAATGAAAGAGAACAAAAAAAGGGAAGAAAAAATGCGTCCTCCGTTTGGAAGGGGATTGGTGGGTCCGCAGCTCTGCTGTACCTTTGCCCAAGGCGGTCCCGTGTTAGCGCTTAAATTGTGTAGTGGCCTGGGGCAACTGTGCTTGGCAAATGTTTGCGGTTGTTTTCCTAGTGATTCGGAGCCTGATCACGCCACACGTCTTCCAGCTCACCGGCGAGCTTTACGATTTCCTTTGCGTCCAGAGGAAGTAGCTGAACACCGCAAACACAGCTGAAGCCTCTGAAGAAGCTAGTCGTGTCTGCATGCTAGGCAAATGGCGCCGTCGGTTTCCTCAGTAGAACCCAGGCCAGCCGGCTTGTCTTGCATCGCCTGCACTGCAATGACCCAAACAAGCTTGAGCGCAGGCGCTGCCGCATCCTGCCTCCAACCTGGCAATGGCATCCAACAGGTCCTGTTTGACCTTTGCCACGCGCTGCTCTTGAAAGTACTCAAAAAGTAGAGCATGCTGATGCCGTGGCCGTTTGCAAGCCGCGCTTCTTTGCTTTGGCCATGCCACCTCCGCCCTCTACCTGCATCAAGGCCTGCGGACCGGCGAGCGCACAAGTAAAGCTTGCATGCCGCTGTGTAGCGCAATGACATAGCAACGTGAGCCTATGCTCCAAGTAGTCGGGTTTTTGCACGTGCCACATGGGTTGGCAAGATGCAATCATGCTCAGTACAACAAACCTGCCTGCTGGTCCGGATCCTCCTCTTCATCCTCTTCGACATACTCAAAGAGTTCGTCAACCTGCAAAGCTCATGATGCCCGAAGCTTTTGACAGCTCTTTGCCGGCAAACAGCTCTGCCCATAGTCCCTATCTGACGGATCCTTGGTCAGCAGGTCCCTGAAGGCCAGCACATCAATGAAGTCCCCCTGCAGGAAAATTCTAGACTCTAGACTTTAATCATATTAGCACCTGCCGAGGCGTTTAGGTTAAGCCCAGAAAAGTTGGGGGAGCGGCGTTTTTCTTGGGCAGCTCATCCCACATCTCCTCCAACTCCTCCTCCGAGAGGTCCTTATCTGCAGTGTATTGCATATACATCTCAAAACGCTGGAAGGCTGCGCCAGGCTGGGTCTGGCCTCCTTTTCCAACATATCCTCAAACTCCGAGATTTCTTTCAGCGCTTCGAAGGACAGCAGATTCTTCTCGTCGCATGCCTGTCAAGACACTGTGCCCCTTTGCCCTGCAACATCCTGCAACTGTTCCCATCACAGAAGAGGGGTGACCTGTCGGAAAAGCTGGGTGATCTCCACGTTTTGTCTTCCGCCTCCAGCTGACCTCAGAACAGCCACGCACGACACACATCAGATCATCAAGTGAGTCATCACTTGATATTCAGGGCCTCAGATGCCTCAGGGCATGGCGGAGATGCCAGGCCTTCCGTGCTTGGCTTCTCTTCCTCATCCTCGACACCTGCAAGATCGGGACCAGAACAGGGAATTTTCACTTCGAGCTGTTTCCAGGAATCCGCAAAAGCGGATGCATGCAGCCGAGCCGCTGTAGTCTTCCAGTTCGTCATCTGTCTTCCCTGTGATGATCTCCTCTGCAAGCTTCCACGGAGGCTTCTGGTACACCGGAACTTTGTCGGTCTGGCAAGCTCACATAATTCGGAGAATGGGAAGTTCACGTGTGAAAGACACCGGACACAGCATTTGAAATTGGCACAGCGCAGGGCTCTGATGATTAGCCGGCGGGACCAGTGTTCCATACTTCATCTGCTGCTTTGGCTTCAAAGGCTTGGTGTCCAATCCTTCCACTTTGACCCCGATGGCCGGGCGATCTTCAAGAAGTTGCCTGGCTGTGGCATCAGCCAGCCGTTGAGTCATCACGGGCAAGGCTTTTCTCTTGGCGCTCTGTGTCCGTCAAACTGGTCTGCAGGACTCATCATCGAGGTTGCTCATGTCCTTCTCAGGTTGACGCATGTGACTGTCAATGTCAATCGCACAACACCCAGCTGACAAGAGACTTCTCCTCCAGACCCTGATCATCATCTTCGAAAACGTCTGACGGGGGTGCAACTGCATCTTGCCACAGGAAGGCATCCTGGAAAGTGCAACCCCCGGCAAATGCGTGGAGACGATATGCACGACGCAGCGGCCACTTGCGTAGGTAAGTTGTACAGTAGTACGCTGCAAACAGGCCAGGTGCTCGTACAACTTCAGCACGTCATTGTACCACCGACCTTCCAAGGCTTATCTGCTGTTTCTTTTGATCGCTGGGCTTCCTGAAAGCTGGAAAACGAGCAACTTGGTTCGGCAAAGCCAGGTTAACTAGGAGTATTAGGCACCGCGCTGAAGCCCTCGAAGTCCAGTGGCTCATCGGGATCTCCCCAAATGACTTTGAGCTCCTCAAGGTTTGCGGCTCCTTCCTCCAGGACAGCATCCACACCCTCGAGACCTCGGTCTTGTCAACCCCAAGCAACCACCCGCCACAAATCTTCAGGGCTTCTCTCAACATAAAATCTCCTGCATCAACCCTTTTGATGTGATCATACCTGACACGGTCAAGTACATGCAGGATTGGGCAGCTGGGTCCAAGGCTGGAGGCTTGGTCAAAGGTCACCAGGTCCTTGCCCTCTGAAGCAACGTCGAACAAGGACTGCCTAACAGCAAACCGTTTGCAAGAGCTTGTGACCGCGCAACCACGCAGTGTTTGCAGCAGTCCATCCTCTACTTACCTCTACCAGTGTTGTCTCTCTCCCTGCTGAAGCCTGTTCAAGTCTTCCTTGCAGCCGGCGCCCTAGCAGCTCTAGCAAGACCCGGATCACGAAATAGGAGATGAGGCTGATGATTGTCATGACACGGAATGTCGGAGGGCTTCTGGGTGTCAGCTTCCCAACAACGTACATCTGAACCAAGCAAACCAGGATTGGCTGCGCATTCAATGGATAGACTAAGCCATCTGCAACTCTTCGTCAGTGAGATCCTCCTTCTCCCTTGGACACTCAGACACCGCAACAGCTGTGCCAAAGTGCAGAGCTCTGACACTAATTTCGGCCTAAGGTTCACATGCTTCATAAATAACAGAGCCGCCGGCAGCGTTTCGATGGTGCTACCAGCTGTCATGACTACCTGCTCGCTCCAATTTGGGCGTCGCAATGTGATTCTGCAGTGTCAAGGTGAGAACAGAATCGTGCACAATGAGCCGGGCCTTGCAGCCATTGATCCTTTTTGGCCGAAGCCTGCCATACAAGAACTGGGAACCATCGACATCTGACAAATCTTTGCTGCAGCCTGCCTCCTATTCATGACAGATGCCGCCACTCCGCCAACAAGACACGGCAGCGCTGCCGCTCTTGCTGCCTGCTTTGGCTGCTCGCTGCAGATCCAGCCATAAAGACTTACTGAGCCAAAGCCCTCTGCCACCTTCGCCGCATATTCGCTACTCCTGCACACACACAACTATGCACTCAGAGACTAAAAGAAAAGAATGCGCACCGGATGCCAGCTCCCGAATGCCGACCTCCGTCCCACCTCACTCCCCAGCGGCTTCCAAAGCCTGGCCTCTCACAAGTAGAGACCCGCATCACAGGCATACGCCTGGGTATGAAGATGGCCTCTGAAGCCGGTGCCCTCAGCACAGGCGCCTGAAACGTCCTGGCCATGCGATCAAGTGCAAAGAAGGAAGGCCATGAGCTGCAGCTCTGAGATCAGCGCGCTGGAGTGGCAGGCGGCGACACCATGGCAGCCATCATTGCCATCTGAATGTTAAATTCTCCTTTAGCCACCTAGGGTACGGCACGTTCCCGTCGTGCAAAGGTTACAATCTCTGAAAACTCAGCGCTAGTGACACCCATCTGGCTTCGTGTTCTGCGGATTCCGGACATTGAAAGCACTGGCATGCCGGCATGCCAATGTAGCAGGGTCTATTTGACACAAATGCTGCAGACATCTCCACTTGCTATCACTGCGAATGCGGTCCTGCATGCGGTTCCCGCATTCAGAAAACAAACCCCGCACTTCACTCATGAGCTAAACCTAACGCTGGTGGTAGAGCTGAATGAGTGATGGATGAGGCACATGCGACCAAATGCGCACAGCAATGCACAGCCTGCGAAAGAGGCAGAATGAAGTATCAGTCAGCCTTGAAGGCATTCTTGTAGAGCGGCAGAATGACACTCTCGGGGACGGAGCCGCTGATGTATGACTTGGCGGTTGGATTGACTGCATTCGTTTGGCAGGACGAAATTTGGATCGTGGCCATCAGCACGATGTCATAATTGCTATCACTAACCTGAGGCATGCCCCGACAAGTTTCACTGCACCACTGCACCCGCGAAACACCAACTCCCGACACTGAGTCAGCCACCGGCCAGTCTGGACTGGTCGCATCAAGCTCCACAAAATTCACACGGTCCTGAATGTCCTGCATGGATTCTGGATGTAGCACGATCAGCTTGCGCAGGAAATTTTGCATTGTCCGTACCGCAGCAGGCGCTCCTGAGGCTGCTGCGCCTTGATGCCTTCACCCGTCCGGCACACCTGCTAGGCAACGGCTCGGCAACAGGTCGACTTGCAAGCAAAAACTCTGAGATCAGCCTCGGGCAGCTCCAGCACTGTCGACTTGAGGCCAGGGGTGGCCTGAAACCAGAATGTCACACTGCGGAACAGCTACAAAACCCACAGTAGGCCTCTGTGAAAACATAAGAGAAGGCTCCGGAGCCGCCTCCAAATCATCCGTTTACCATGCTGCAAGATGAGACAGCCGTCAAAAACTCCCTGGCATGAATTTGGCTGCCTCCCACATCAAGCATGGAGCTGATGCCGCCCAGATTGAGCTTCTTCCGCACCAGGTACCTCAAGTGCTGCTGGCATGTCATGGCATCAGATAACAGAAGCAAAGAGCATTCCCTGGAGCACTTGGCAGTTGCCACGGATCCGTTGTGCTGTGCCTGGTTGCTCATCACATGTCCACTGCAACTGCACATAAGCTGCGCTTGGCTCAATGTTTCAGGCTCTGCGAACACAGCAACTTGCAGCAGCTCATGCAAGATAATTTTTCTGTGAAGCAATCGTGTCTGAGTGCCACATCGGCAGGACTTCATCAAGCGAACTTACTGCCAGTTTGGCAATTCGCTCAGCCGATGTTGTGCGATGTAGCGCCAGACCTGACCAAGAATCTCCCTCGCTGCCAACAAGATCCGCCGACCCCGAAGCGGGGGTCGGCGTCAGTGAAGACCCATTGCCCCTCCTTCACTTGACCTGTATCCCGGCCCCGGCCATGAAAAGCAATGTTTTAAAGGCTCC